GGGGGCAGGCACGGCCACGGGGAGCAGCAAACGATCAGAGCCCTCGGGTGAGAGGAGGCAGGAGCAATCACACTGGGGTTTGGGTTTTTTTTTTTTTTGCTAGACTTTCATCTCTGCAGTCCCAGGTGTGGACACACTCATGTCCCCCTGACACAGAGATCGGTGTCTGGGTGCCCAGCCCCGCGCAGGGCTCCGCATCTTGCTTGCAAACACTTGCACGCTTGGCGAGCTCTCCACCTGCCACCCTGCCAGCGGGCGTGGAGGGGAACTTCTAACCCAGAAAAAGCATCACTTTTCATTTGCATCGGTAGGAGGAAGAAGAGCAACGGCAGCACCAGCGCTGGGCTCCTGTGGCTTCCCCCGCGGCGGCCCGACTACCTCGGCAGTGACATGTTCTCAGAGATGTTGTGTTTCTGAAGGCAACCATCTCTCTTCAAAACATGCTCCCTGGAGACACTGAGTGAGCACAAATACCGTCCCGCTGGTGCAGGGCCTGGGTGTTCAGAGGGGCCCAGTGAGCTCCATCCCAGCAGGACACAGTGGAGGCATCAAGAGCAGGCAGAATGAAACACTTTGGGATGGTAAATCTTGAAACCATGGATTGTGTCCACGGCACCGAGCCAGACGCCCTCTTTTTGCTCCTAATACTGCTCCCAGCACTGCCAGGGATGCAGAAGGCTTGAGCCCTGAACCCCCTCTCTGCCTGACAGTGGTTTTGGGAGATTGCACTCCTTTCCCCCTCACCAACCCTAAATATTACTCCCTTCTCAGCTGGGTCTGACACTGAGAGGCCACTGGATGTGATCCTGAACAGCTGTTTGAAGTGTGAAGTGAAGAGCCGGGACACGGCAGGGGACAGACAGGCTGTGCACACACAAGAAGGATGTGGGATTGATTGTTGGTGCTGCACGCTGCCCAGCTCCTCTCCTGCACGGCTCCTCCGCTCGGCCAGTGCTCCCTGTCTCCATCCCAACTCCATCGGTCACCCCAGGGGGAGATGTGGATGGAGTTTAGTCCTGTTTGTATATCCCCCAGTTTGTATATCCTCCCCAGGGGATTTCAGCTGGTCTGGCTTTGCGCTGGTCTGCGGTCGAGCTTGTCCATCCTTGAGGGTCGCCTTGCGAGAGGTTCACTAGGCCCAGGCTGCGCAGGCACCCCGGGCAGCGGGGGAAGAAAAAGCTCAGGTTGCAGAGGAAATTTTAGCCACGGTCTTTGTGCTGAAAAGGAAGGGCTTTTCTCCTCTCACAGGTAAGTCCTGAGTCGGGGGGGTGAGGAGGAGAAGGGAATTTGCACATCAAGGTCTTCACATCAGCACGATCCCCGGGAGAAGGCTCCTCCAGCCCCGCGGCCAGGCTGTCACTGGCTGCTTGCCTTCCCTATCACACCAAAGGACATTTTACAGCAATTTCGCCTGCACAAATAAATACAAAACCAAACTGCTATTTCTCCTGGTTTCTTCTCTTTTCCCCTTTCATCCCTGTGACATCTTCCTCCAGTAAATCCTTCCCTTATGTCTCATTAGAGTCTGTTCCTGGACAATTTGCAGCTGCGACAACCCAGGAGATGCCCGGGGCCTGTCTGCCTGGCTGACAGCTCACATACACACCCGGCTTTTTGCTGTGCCTGCACCACAAAATGGTTTTATGGCTGGGCTGCCCCGTGCCACGGCCACAGAGGTCTCATAACCTTCCTGTCCAGGGTTTTCCCGGCATGCTGGACAAAACGCTTCACCTGCTTTCCTTCCCCTAACACGCTCCTCTCTCCCCACGGTGGTTTCGTGCCTTTGCAAACCCCCAGCATTAGGGTTTTGCAAGAAAGTCTGCAAGAGCATTACGGTCCCCGCTCCCCTCGGATAACCCCCTGCCTGCCCTGGGACGCAGCGAGGATGGAGGCGATGAAATTAAAAATAACCACTTTGCTGGGAGGCACGGGTGGCAGAGCTGGCGCGGCTCGGCCGCGGGTGCCTCCGGGCACAGGATTTCAAGGGCACATCACGCTCCAGCCGGGTGGCTGCCAGCAGCCCTCCCCAGCGCTGGCTGAGCCGCTCTCCTGACTCCTTCCAGCGATTTTTTTAAGGCAGCTAATAGCTCCGAGGGAGTCCCGGCGTAATGAGAATTGGCAGGAGCGAGCAGATATTAGGTTTATTCACCACCAGTTTTAAATCATTTAGCATAGCAGAAAGGCCGTGTTTCTACAAGCAATATGTTCTGCTTTGCTCGCGTCGCGGTTCCTGTTGAAAGGGTTTAGTGATGAATGGGGACAGCGGTGTCTGTGGGGGGAGCGGTGCCGCTCTGCTCCGCGTCCGTGGTGATGGGACAGGGACGAGCCTGGCCAGAAACCGGGGCCAAGGATTCAAGCCAAAGCCCATCCCCATCCACAGGAGCTTCCACCGGCTGCAGACTGGGACTCGTGAGGAATTTATGTCCCGCTGAAGGCAGCCTGTGGTTTCTGTTTAAAAATAAAGCCTTAAAAAGACAACTTGGGGAGCTGGACCGAGGATGCTCTATGCACAGCGGAACATGGTTCCTCAGGGATTGCTGAGAAAAGTCGCAGGAGGAATTAAACTTTCACCCCGGCAATTATTGTAAATCTCTTTGGTCAAGGCACAGACCTAAAATTAGCCCTCAAATCCTTTTGAAGTTTGGGATTTTTCACTTGATTTTTCAAGTGAATGACCAGCAGCGCTGCAAACTGTGCATTTCCACGCTTGGAGCCCTGGTTTTCTTTTTAATTGCAGCCCCTGAAGGTTACTCGGTGTTTCATCGCAAGCAAGGCCAGGCTTTCCAACCTTGTTTCACACAGTCTGAAACAAGCAGCGACCCACAGAGCGGAGGCAGAAGAGAGCCTGTTATGTACCAAAGCCTTTGCAGTCACAGAGCGTTTGTTCTGGTTCGCGGAAGAAATCCCGGCACCCCAGCCCTTCCCCGGGCTCCTGGTGTGTTTTCCTCTCGAGTGACGTTTAGGGAAATCTGGGAGTTTAGTGAAAGCTGGGATGCTCGGAGGGAAATGGAGGTGCAGGAGGGGCACGGAGCAGAGGCTGAAGCGCGGGGTTGCCAGCGGCGTGCTGGCTGCGCAGGGCTGTGCATCCGGGCAGCGTCTCGGGGGCCAGCAAGCCACGGGGCCACGAGCCGGGGAGCACGGGGTGCCGTGGGGTGCAGCACGCCCCGCCAGGCTCTCTGCTCCTGCTGCGCCGCCTCTGCCCCGGCACCCCGCAGCCCCTTTGCCGGCCTGGCCAGCGACGCTGGCGTGAAACCCCGGGGGCTGCTTTGCCATCGCCGCCCTTTTCCGCGGAGCGTGGTCCAGGTGGTCCCACGGCACAGGCAGGGCATCAGCCGGGGCTGCCGGAGCCACGCCGTGCGGCACTCAGCCCGGCTGGCAATCGATAGCGAGTGCAATGAAACCCTTAATGAAATTCCAGCCTAAGAGACTATTGATTGCGTATTTGCTTTAAAAATGTATATGAATGGGAGAGAAGCTTTTTGGAGGAGAGGCCGGGGAAGGGGAGGGGTGAGTGGAAACGCACCATCAGCTGATGCGGGAGATGGGCGCGTGTGGTCTGCCCAGGGTAACCTGCATTGAGCGGTGGGCTCCAGCCTCTTGGTGAGCATTAATTCATCCTCAAAACACCCCTGGGAAGGGAAAACATCACCAGCCAGAAGCAGGAAAGTGGGCATTCACCCAGAATCATCACAAAACCGGCGATGTGATGAAACCAAAGAGAGAAGTCAGGAGTCCATGACATGGCCGTGCCACCTAGACAGTGCTTTTGCAAATCCCCCCTTGTTCCATGCCTCATGCTGCTGCCTAAAACACACGCAAAAAAAAAAAAAAAAAAAAAAGAGGTTTAGGAAGATGCTGCACTCTTTTGCTTTGGGCATTCAGGGGAAGAAAAAGCAAATGGTGCATCACTACTCAACAACCTTACAAACAACCTCCGTCCTTCTTTCTGCACCCTCTGAGTGCCCCCAAACGAGCCTCTCCCAAATTCTCTCCAGATTACACCTTGCAAGGGTAAGGGGGTGGTAAGGAAGCATAATAAATAAATCATAATAGCAATAAAAACCCCCACCCCCCCCTTCACCCCTTACATAACCAGCATTGTTTTAATCCTACAGGTGCTTTGCAGAAGTAAAAAGGATTTGTTCCTCCTGCAAATCCTTTTTTCTATTTTTTTTTTTTTTTTTTTTTTTTTTTTGGTGAGTCATCCTTATCCACCCTGTGGACACGCTGTGGGGAGGCCCCGGGGGGGGGGGGGGGGGGCCGTGTGGGGTCCGGGAGGCAGCCCGCAGTAATGTGACCCCTGACTAAATCACTTAAACCTCTCTGGGCTTCAGTTCCCCTGCGGTAAGATGTGGATTATAAATCCGCCCTGACCCCCTTGGCAGAGGAAGGTGCTCAGAGACGGGCCCTATAAATATGTCAGCAGGACAGCGGGGGCGAGCGCCGGGGCTGGCCCGCAAACCTCCACCCAGAGCCCACCCTGGGCACGCAGCGCTGCCTTGCGAACCCCCGGGATGGGGCTGCCAGGGGGGGTCACCCCAAATACACCCACATAGGCAGGGCAAAAATAAAAACCCCTGAGCTTTGGGGTTAAAAAAAAAAAACGAGCTTTGAGGCTGGTAGATGGGGCGAGAAAATGCTGCTCTCCCGTCTTAGGGCATGGGGGTGCCCTCCGAGGATTTGGGGTGCCCTCCCAGGTCTTGGGGGTGCCCTCTGAGGATTTAGGGTGCCCTCCCAGACACGCCACCCCAGCGCCGGCGGGGATGGGTGACCCCACACGCGGGGTGCCGCCCCCCCCCCCCCCCCCCCCCCCCCACTCCGCCTCGCCCCCGGGGAGCCCCGGCCGGGCGCGTTGCGCCCCCCCCTCCCCGGCTCGGTTTGGGCTGAGGGGGGGGTGGAGGGGGGGGTGGGGGGAGCGGGACCCCGCGGCGAGCGCGGGCGGGGCCCTTTAAAGCGGCGGGGCGGTGGGAGGGGCGGGAGGCGGTGCTGCCGGGCGGGGCGGGGGGCGGCCGGGCAGTGCTGGCCCGCCGGGAGCCGCGCCGGGAGCCCCGAGCGCCGGGCCGGGTGAGCGCATCCCTCCGGTACCGGATGGCGGGCGGGGGCGGGGGGGAGGTCCCTTGTTTTTACGGTTATTCCGCCTCCGTTTAGGAGCGGACCCCTCCCGGCTCGGGGGTGGGTACCCGTTTGCAGCGGGAGAGACGAGCTCTCCCCCACCCCCCCCCACCCCATCCCCCCTCCCGCCGCATCCCCCCCACCCGCCGCCACGGGGAGGGTCGCCCCCTCCTCTCGCCGAGCCGGGGGATCCCCCCCTCCCCGCCTCCCAGGGCTGGCTTCTTTTCCACCGCCCCCCCCCCCCCCCCCCCCCCCCGCCCCCGGTGAGCATCGCCGGTCCTGCGGCCGGCCCCGAGCCCCGGCGGGGGGAAACCGGGGGGGGGGGGGGCAGCGGGCGGCGCTGGGGCCGCCCCGGGGCAGGGACCGAGCCGGGGTGGGGGGGTGAAACTCGCTGGGCCGGGGCCGGGGGATGCTCCGGCGGGGGGCACCGACAGCGCGCAACACCCCGCGTGGATGCTGCTTGCATATTTTTTTTTTTTTTTTTTTTTTTTTTTTTTTTTGTAATCGAGCGTTATTGTCTGCTTGGGCTTTGCATGTGGGTTGCAGGGTCCTTTGGGTGGTTTGCACGGGATTCCTCCTCCCGCCCGCCGGGTCCTGCCAAGGGCAGAGCAGCACCAGTCCCGCCTGGGCAGCCGGTGCCTCCCATTCCCTGGGGGGGGGGGCTCCGCGGACACCCGTGGGGCAACGGCAGCTCCTGAACTTCCTCCAGCGCTGGTGGGGCTGGGTTGCATCACATGGAGGCCTTTGAAAAGCAGAGGGACTTTCTCCTTGGCCCTTCTGCTTATTTCTAGTTTCTGCTGAAGCGGCGGCTGGGGCTGAAGTACAACAGAAATGCAGCTCAGGGGTGCGACGAGCGTGGGGGTGATTGCATTCGTGCCAGGGCTTGACGGTGTCAAACTTTGTCTTCCAGGCCCCTCTGAGTTGGTCTGGTCCCTCGTTCTAGTGTGGAAATTCATCATTTGAAGTTATGTGCTTGGCCTGGAAGAACTGCACTGCTGGCACCTCGGGGACCCTGTGATCTGGAACGGGAGAGGAGGTAAAAACGCTCTGTCCCCCCAGCACCCTGCCCAAAATCCCAGGGAGGCCCTGCCACTGTTTTGTTGAGTGGATTACTCAGACCTCCCCTCCATGGGGATTTTTGGTTTGGTTTGTTGGGAGAGGAGTGATGAAGGACCATGGTTGCAATGCTGGACATCTGGGGCTGTGCTAAATGGGGGTCGTGCTCCTAAACCATCCAGGCTCCTCTGAAATGCTCAGCCCTCCTACCCCGGGGCCCTCAGCCATCGCCTTTGCACAGGCAGGTGGTGGTGTGCTGCCAGAAGATGTGCTTAGATGGGATCATGAGCACTCTTGGACCTCCCCTCTTGTATTCCTCTGTTGCTTCACAGTGCTTCTCCGTTGCTGTAACGCTGCAGTGCAGCCCAGGCTGTCTGTTGAATAACTTAATTCTAAAAAAAGTTGCATAATTCTTGGAGAGATGCTCCAGCCTGTTGACGTGCATTTGAGGAGGGTGCGGGTTTGCCTGCCGGTGGCACAACACCAGACACTCATCCATTCCCCCTGTGCCAACACGTGGGACAAGTCCTGAGGGGTGCAGGATGGAGCCTCTCCTGTCCTGCTCCGAGCAAGACTTTTGGGTTCAAATTGCTGCCTTCCTTGAGTGCAAGCCCCTTGGTTGGCTCAGGGGTGCCGTTGTTGCTTGACTGTAGGGCTACCTCTTCCCGCTGCTACCCTTGATGTCCTCTTGTCTGTCCCTCCTTCTCCTGGACTGGTGTGAGCACACTTCGTGCACCCTCATGGCAGGGTCCTCTTGTCCAACCTCCTCTTGTCCTTCCTCCTTGGAGGTAAATGACCCATCTCTTCAAGATGAGGACGTTGCTGGTTAATGCCCTTCCTCCTCCTCTTCCCGGGGCAGGCAGAGAAGCCCCAGGATGGTTGCACATCTGCTGGTCTGGGATGCCCCAGGGCCTTCCCTGCTCTTCTCCAGCCCAAAGGCCAGCAGAGCGGCTCCTGGCAGCGCTCCCCTCCCCGCACGCTGGCCCGTTGGTGCCCTTGCTTGCCCTCAGCCCGTTTCCCTGCCCGTGGATGCCAGTGAGGTGGTGAGATCAGGGTTTGGAGACTTGTGCTTGGCTCGGTGCTCTGCTTCCTCGTGTGAGCAGAGGCTGGCGGAGGGAAACTGGGGACCTGCCACTGCGGGGAGTGCCCGGTGTGCACCCTGACTCCCTGGAATTACAGGTTTGCATCACAGCGGGCTCCATCACAGCAGAGAGGGGGAGAGGTTATTCCTAAAGGGAAAACTGCATCCCAGACCTGGTTTTTGTTAAAGTGAAAACCAGAAGGGCTTGGAGAATCTGCTTGCTGGGTGAAGGGTCTGGGCGTGGGGTGAGACTCGCCTGGAGCTCTGCATCCATCAATGCCCGCTGTGCTTCGGAGGGAGGACTGGGATGGGGACCTGGTGTGCATCCCCTCCGGGGTCCCGTCGGGAAGACTGGAGGAGGTTCATGCCCTGCTACACCGGGTCCTGGCAGCGTTTGGCAGGCAAGATACCTGGCCAGGACACCGGGAAGGAGGGCGGTGGTGAAGTCGGATACCACCTGTAAGTCCCTCCTGCACGGCCGTGGCTGCCACGCTGGGCACGACGCACTGCCTGCCTGGGAGCTCCCCTGCACAGCGAAGGGAAAACACATATTTGAGGTTGAATCTCCAGCCAGGGATGGCAGCCATAACAGGGTGTTTTGGCATCATCTGGTTGGGGGGGGGGGGCTTCAAAGCCCACTGGAATTTTTATGAGGTGTTTTGCTTAATACACCACTTAAGCAATTAGCAGCGATTGTAGCAGTCCTGGGCAAGGCACTGGGTACAATTGAATTTCCCAAGCTCAGATACCATTAGGCAGCAGTTTAATGCTGTTTGCAGGCGGGTATGAGACAGCGATGTGTATGGGGAATTAGATCTGCAAAGTAAAAAAACATAAGAAAATTTTGTACAGACCTATGTAACTTTATCCCATGTTTATTATGTGGCATAATTGAAAAGTAATTTTAGGGGGTTGTCTGCCCTAACGAAGGGGGGATCCCCAGCGGTGAGCTGGGACAGAGGCACATGGCAATGGCTGTGCCATACCACGTCAGGATGCACTTTGCTGGGCACCCTGCACCACTGACCCACGCAGCTCAGTCCCCAAAAACACCCAAGGAACCTCTTAAAGGCGCTGATGATCTACAGGGAAAGAGTAATCTCTTTAAACGAGTTTGCACTTGTTTGGGGAACTGCAGTTGGCTTTATGTTGTGGGGCTTTTTCATAAATCCCCCATGTTTCAGGTACATCCAGGGTTGGTGAGTGAGCAGATAAATCGCCATTATTTGGCTTGTCTGAGCCCGGGAAGGGTCTGTCCCGAGGTACCAGGTCAGTAGTTAATATATAACGCATGTGCATGACACCGTGCACCCCACTGCCGTGTGGCACCAGCGGCAGGCCAGCCTGGAGGTGGATGTGCAAATAGTTTTACAAGGGTGGGAAGCCAAGAGGAGAAGGAGGGTTTTGTTGTGGGCTGAGGGGCGGAAGGAAATCTAGGCTTAGCGAGGGAAACGTGAGATTGCTTGGTTGGGGACAGGGCTTCGGCCGCTCCTCTTGGGAGGCTCTGCTATTGTGGTGGTTAAAAATAGACTTTGGACTGGTTACTGTTCTGCAGGAAGCTCCCTGGCCGGAGACAGGCAGGTGAGGTGGCACTCGAGCGAGGGGGAAGAGACAACAGCCTCTGACCTCCTTTGCCAAAAGCTCTATTTTTATTTTTTTAAGAAGTAGCCAGATCTTCTTTCGGGGCACTGAGGGGGTGTCTTTGCTTTGTTTCCAGACACAGCAGGCTGTGTTCAGGATGCCTAGCTGTAAGTGATGCTTTGCACAACATCCCATTGCTGCAACCCGGGGAGCCCCTCCCCGTGGGTGAGGCAGGGACCCCTCGGGTCCCACGCTGGTGTACCCGCATCAGCGGCATGCTGAGTGGCTTGGGTGATGCTCCAGCTCCGCGCGTGGGCTGGCAGCACGGCTTCCTGCAAGCTGGATGGAATTACTCGGGGAAGAGATTATCTAAGATCCAGTGGATCTTGTCTATTAACTTGTCTTTATTTTCCAGCAGCTGTCAGCACGGGAGATAAAATGTACACTGGGGGGGGATTTTGAAGGGGCGGGAGAGAAACAACCCTGTGATATGAAGTCGGTCAGAATAGTGGGAAATGGAGAAAATCTCAGTTTTTGCTGAGGGATTGTCACGGGCCTGGCTGGTTTTGGCAGACTGGCTGCATGTGGGAAAGAAAAGTGTCTGTGTCCCCCCTCCAGCACCCAGGGGTGCCGGGCGGGAGCGGGTCCCCCAGCACGGGGCAGGGCCAGAGCTGCAGGCGGGCCGTGGCCCCCAAAACCTGGTTTATTTGCAGGAGCGTTGGTTCCTGCAGGGTTGGCAACAGGACGCGGAACTGGAGGATTCCATGCAGAGCTGTGCAGAGACCATTACATGTGCAAAAGCGGGGGGAAAACAAGTCATTTATTGCCTGTTTTGTCTTTTGAAGAGGTCTCCCTTCAGCGTCTGTGTCCGGAAACCCTGCCATGGAAAACAGCCATCCCACGCTGCTGGGTGCTTTGGGGGCATCTGTTTTGAGAGCTGCTCCAGCTAACACTGCGGCTGGAGGAATCCCTCACCAGGCAGCAGAAAAAGACCCAAGATGCGTTTTCACTTCACACAAATGTTTTCTGGGCTGCGTGTGACAGGAGGACCCTGTAGTATGTCTGGGCAGGGAGTCAGAGCATGCATTTAATGGGGGATTGGTTCAAGGAAGGTAGTCTGACCATTCAATTGGAGGCCAAAATGCTGTTCAGTTCAATTAATATTTTAGTGAGATGGACAGTAAATGAAAGGAACAAAGATTGTTTCCATTTCTATCTGATTCAGACAGCCGGCCTAAGATCTATAGGGTATAAATAGTCCATGGAGCAATGAGGAGTGCAGAGAGCAATCAACTTCTCCCACCCTGGGGCTGTGGTGGGGACGGTGAGTGGGCCTGGAGGGACGTGTAACACGCAAGGGCAGGTAACTTTTGCTTTTTTGCCCCATGGCTTTCTCTTCCTCAGCTTAGCCTATGTGTGTGGTTAAAGCTCCGATGAGTCTTAAGGACTGGGACCCTTCCCAGCCCCTCAAGGTGGCAAAGGAAGGACATTGCTTGGTTTTTGCATCCTTCAGGTGTCTGCTGTGGACGGGGGGCACATCAGCTCTGTGGCTGAGGTGTCCCCCATCCCTTTGGGCTTGCACAGTAAGAGCAAAGATGATGCACTTGCCTCCTTTCTGCCATCAGCTCTGAGCCCCGCGTGCTGCTTGCTCTGCCCCACTGTCCCCAAGGTCGGTCCCCATCCCTGTTTTAGCTATTTTCCCGTCTGCCCGGGGGCAGGCAGTGCCTGGGGGCCGTGCAGGCAGGCACCAGGCTCCCTTGGGAGCTGCCAGAGGGGCTGCCTGCCTGCCAGGAGCGTCGCCTCGCTGCCGGGGGGCTGGGGAGGTGTCTCCTTGCTTTCGGACCTGCTCGTGACTTAGGGATCTCCCCTGGCCCAGCACGCTGAGGTCAGGCGCTTTTCTGGGGGAGCAGGTGCCTGGGTTTCCTCACGCCGTTCCCGTGGGATTGCCAGCCAGGGCTTTGAGTGGCATCGATCTTGCTGGAAACCGAGCAGCTTGCTGGACCAGAGCAGCTGGGACCGAGCTGGGGACCTCCTGCCCCGTGAGCCGGGGCTTTGCTGCAGACCCTTCCGTGCAGGCTCCTCCCTGCTTTCCCCGGTTTGGCCCCGGGAGCTCTCTGGTGCGGGCAGAGATGGAGGGATACAGGTTTGCCTCTCACGACTTCCATCAGACAGTATTTTTTTCTGTTGAATTTCAAGATCGCTTTGGCCCAGCCTGGCTGCGCTGCGCTGGGCAGAAGGGAAGCATCTCTTTATTAGGGTTGTTTCCTTAAATAAAGCCCTTGGAGCGAGAGTGCTGGGCTGGCTGTTCTGGCTATCCCATGACCAGGATTGCGTGTTCGGGTTATTAACACCTCATTAGATGTTGGTTCCTCCCCACGCCTCTGGTTCAGCAAATCCTAGTGGCTTTGTCATAGCTCCCTGACTCCTGCTTCACCAGAGACTTTTTTTTTTTTTTTCGTGGTCTTATGCTGACAGTTTAAATTTCATTTCTTCTTGAGGTCAGTAGCTTACTTCGACTTTCAGATCTTTCTACTTGTGTGTGGCAACACGCATCCCTGGTGCAGGGGATGCATCAGCACAGCTTATCAGGAGAGATTGTCGTAACATCGCTGCCAGCAGCTGGCTTTTGCCTGTGATGGCAACCTGGGTTTCCACTCAGCCAATCCCCAGAAAACCTTTATTTTTTCCTTCCTTTTTAAAACCTTAGCTTGCTTTCCCAAGTGACAGCCGGAGCAGGACACGGGTCTGCCCTAAGAGGTGTCTGGGGACTCGTGCAGGTGGGTTAGGAGCCCATCACCAGCCTGATGTCTTGGTTGTCATTCTGTGGCTCCCCTTTGACAACAAACCTCCTCATTTTACATATTCCCGTGTCTGTGCTCTCGTGTAACCCAGGCCAGGGACTTGAGGCTGTGGCCCCTGAGCCAGCTCTGGAGTCGGCAGATAGCACCTCCAAAGGAATCTGGCTCCTTCCAAAGGTGCCCAGGAGCACTCTGCAACCCTTGCAAAGCTGGGCTGGGAGCGGATGGCCCTTGCTTTCCAAAAAGCAATCGCAGATTTGCTGCTTATTTTCATCTTGAGCTTATTTTTGTCTTTGCTTCCACCGCTCTGCCCGGGGATGCTGTCTGTGGCATGATAAGTTATTTCAAGAAGTGGGGCAGTGCTGTTGATATGGAGGGGAGTAGAGGCACCGAGATTAAAGGTAAATCTACACAGATAATTGGGAGCCTGCTTCCTGCAGAAATCAGGTGAATGTGTATGTGCTGGGGCAACAATGGCTCTGTGGTCCAGGGGGGCTGCCCCCAGCCACTCCCCCTGCTCCCAGTCTCCACCATGGGGTCCCGGCCAGGGGCTCACGGATCTGTTCTGGGCAGGGATGGCTGGAGGCACAGCACAGTTAGTAATCCCCCCCCTGCTCCCTCCTCAGACCTGCCAGATGTCTCTCCTCTAGGCTTCATTTTTCTAAATTGGTCTTTTAAAGTCTGTCATCCCCGTGCAGATGAAAGGAAGATGCTGTGATGCCTCTGCATGCGTGTCTCCGAGCCTAAGCCTGGCTGTGGTGCCTGAGTGGCGAGGCTTTTTGTTTGGGGCTTTATCTATTTGAAATGCCTTTTATTTTTTTCTTCTTCTTTTTTTTTTTTTTTTTTTCTCCTTATCTTTCCGAGTCTGTTGCATCTTGGCTTGCCACCCCTCGGTTTCAGGCAGACAGGCCCCACTGGGTAACACTGGTCCTTCCTGGAGAGATGGATGGGGAGGAGCATTCTCCCCCAGCCCATGTTGGTGGGGACACAACACCAACAAAGCCCCAGGGTTCAACACCCAGGGCAAAGCTGAGCTGTTCCCTTCTGGCATATGCAAATTAAACCCATCATTGTGGGGCTTTCTCTTCCTCCCCCAAGCCCATTTCTGCTCTTTTCCCTTTGCACCCTTTCCCCCTCCTTTGCTCTCACCACGCCTGCTTGGATTGTCAGGGAATTATTTCCCTTTTCCTCCCCAAGCCCAAATAGTCTTGGCCTGTGGCTTGGTTCCAGGGCAGCTCCCTGCATGGTGCTGGGGAGCCAGGGCTTTGAATTTTAAATCCGAAGGGCAGTAACCGCTGCAGCAAGCAGAGACTAAATTCTCTGCTTGGTGATGGATGGATAACTAAGAATTGCATTTGCTGGGCAGGTAACAAACAGCTTTGCATTTTTTGTTGCTTTCCTACTGTCTCTTGAGGAAATTCAGACATTGCTTCTAAATTGCAGGGATAGGGTTTTTCCCAGCTGGCATGGATCCCTGTGAGCAGGACAGCTCAGGTCTCAGGGGAAGCCCTGTGATGCTGGGGAGAGCCTCGCTGGGGATTTCTGGAGGGGCCAGAGCTCTGCCGAGGACCGGTGACGGTGCTGTGGGACATGCTGGGCCAGTGCGCGTCCCCGATGGCCACGTGTGTGTGTGTGTCCTGTCCTCGCTGCCACCCTGGCACAGCCGGGGAACTGAGCACCATCCCTGTCTCACAGGCGGGAAGATGCCTCGTGGGGGGCAGAGATGCTGCTGAAGGAAAAGCTGCATGGTCCTTACAGGAGAGCAGAGAAGCCAAGCTCCCCTGGTTCTGACTGTCAAGCAACCTGGGGGGGTTTTCTTTCCATCGAGCGCTTTTGTTGCCTGTGTGTTTCTCCCCGTTTGGAGGGGGTTTGAAAGCCACTTCCAGGGACAGAGGTGCTCCCAGAGAGCTCAGATGTTTCATGCTGGCAGGTCAGGCAGTGTCCCGTTTCCATAGGGATGTGCTGGGGAAACGGCAACCAGCTCCTGGCCTCTGCTGCCGCTCTGGATCGCAGCCTTCGGGGCTCGGTCCCTCCTGGGGTCTGGTTACCGACAGGGTTGGGGTCTGGGGGACAAGGAGCAAGTTGGCCCAGTCCCCAGTGCCCACCTTGATCCCGTGGCTTGTGCAGTTCATCCAAGTGGTAATTAATTATTGGCCATGTAAGCTGCTGGCGGGTTGCTGCGCATGATTTATTAGCAGGAGGAATCCCTCGCCGCCAAAAGAGCTGCTCTGTGAATGGAGAGCAGCAAAATCTGGGGGAACCATCCTGTCCTTCCAGAAGTCTGGCTCCCCAGGCGTGGTCCCTGGCTGGGGAGGAGGCCTTGCAGAAGGCAGGGCCCTGGAGCACGGCAGCCACAGACACCCCCGGGTCTGTATTTCAGCTGAGGTGGATTAACCAAACCGCTGCCCTCGATGGAAAGGAGGGGTGTCTGGCCACACATCCTGTGTGTTTGGGGCCATGGGCTGAGCAGTGCCCCAGTTGCTTACTGGGCAAGGCTCACCAGCAGGCACAAGCAGTCTCGGCACTGGGAGGTGACTTTTGAGATGCGGTCGCTGCTGCGGTCCCCCGGGGAGGTGGTTCAAGCCACCCAAAGCCAAGTACGTGCTTGGGAAGGGCAGTGTGAGCACAAAGCCAGGGATGCACATGTGCCCCTGCGAGTCCCACGGCCACTGGGAGAGGGACCAGTGTGGAGGTTGGGCAAAGGGGTGCTTCTCCCATGGGCGTGTGGGTCTGGTGTTCAGCTCCCTTCAATTTCTGGTGGGTTCCTGGGTCTGGCTTCTGTTTTATTTGTTTTTTGTTTTTTTCCCCCCTGCACCCTACCTATTCGTTGGCCCCTGCTGAGGACCTGTCCTGAGGTTATCCATTATGCCATGGTGCCTGATGCTCAGTGAGGGGCAGGGGCTGAGCTCCCACCTGGCTCGGTCTGATGGAGACATGACTGGACAGGGAGGTCTCAGCCATTGCTGGGGGGACATGAGAGCAGCACCCACCCCAGGGGAGATGTTACCCAGCCAAGGAGGGTCTGGGCTATAAAGCTTGGGAATGAGCGGCTCTGGCAGAGCATGTTGGGCTCACCTCTGCCAACCAAAGCAGCAAGAACCATGTCTTTTCAAAAATAAAATAACAAAATTGGTGTGGCAAAAGATCAGGGCAGAAATACGGATGGAGAAGAAAAGGGACCAGCTGCTAGGTGTGGAGAGGAGGGTGCTGCCCCATGCGCCCATGTGGGTGCTGCTGGGGTGCCCGGTGCTCGCTCACCCTGTGGGAGGGCTGCCCCTGTGCCCAGGCAGAACACGAAGGCGAGAGAAATCCTGATGGCGAATCCCCCCTGGGTTCCTCCAGTCGGGGACTCCTTAGCAGTTTTATGAGAAATCAATAATGCTTTTGCATGGTCATAATCGTAAAATAAGTACAATTTATGGCTGCTGCTGGGGCCAAGATTTTTTCCGGCACATGAGGTGGAGGGGGAGCGGCACAAAAACACTTTCCCGTGGCGTTTCCCTTTGCACCGGGGCTGCAAAAACCTGCTCCTACATCATGGTGGGAGGAGACCCCTGTTTGTGGGGGGCACGGCCACGCAGGGTGGGTTGCCCGTGTCCGTGCCCACACTCACGCTGTCCCCTTGCCCCCGCAGCCCGCCGGCAGGTGGAATGGGGCAGCCATGAACGGTGATGCCCTGTGCCAGGAGCCCTCCTCCCCGCTCCCCGACTGGAGGGAGTTCTGCGAGCTGCACGCCCAGGCGGCCGCCGTCGACTTCGCCCAGAAGTTCTGCCAGTTCCTGAAGGAGAACCCCCACTACGACACCCCCGGGGCAGAGACCTCCTTCTCCCACCATTTCGCCACCAACTTCTTGGACATCTTCAGCCTGGAGGTCAGCCGGGTGTTCGTGTCCGACTCCCCCACCAAGTATAACATCGTGCCCTTCGTGGGGCTGCAGAACTGCCACGTCCCCTACGGGCGTGAGGTCACCCCAAGGAAAGAGGAGACATCCACCGAGTCCCTGGACAGCATGGACACCCCGTTGGGTGCCGGGCGGTACCTGAGCCCGGCGCAGCAGGCGCAGGCACGCAAGGTCTCCTCCTACGGCCAGTCCCGCAGCTCGGAGGACGTCTCCATCCATGCTGCCACCAAGCCCAAGTTCAAGAAAGGCTTCTCCTTGAGGAACATGAGTTTGTGTGTGGTGGATGGTATGAAGGAGATGTGGCACCGCAAGTCCTCTCCAGAGCCGGGCGCTGAGGCTGCCTCGGGCGGCCGGAGAGCTGAGAGGGAGCCGTGGCCGGCCGGGGGCAAGGAGCCCGGCGACCCACGGGAGAAATGGACTCACAAGCTGCGCCTGTCCAAGGTGCCCTCCTCCAAAGTGGAGCTGGTGGACATCCAGAGGGAGGGGACGCTGCGCTACATGGTGGCCGACGACACGAACTGTGTGGGGAGCTCACAGTGGCAGAAGTGCCGCCTCCTGCTCCGGAAAGCGGTGAAGGTGGAAGGAGAGAGGTTCCTTCTCGAGTTTTATGTCCCTCCAAAGGTAAGTCCTGGCTTTTCTTTCTCCACCGTTGTTTTTCTGAGCAATTCGAGCAGCAGTTGGGCTTTGCTTGACGTTTTTCTTGTTTCTGTTGCTGAGCTGGGATGAAATCAGCTCTGGTCCAGAGCGTGGTTCGGTGCTGAGTGGCTGAGATGCGAACAGAGGGGACAGCGTGGTTGAAACCCATCCAACCTTCGAAGCTCCAATTGCTGCTGTTCACGGGGGCATAGTCCCCTCCTCCCCCACAGCCCTTGGGAGGGATGCTGAAGCCTCTGCCGGATCCTTTGGCCCCCAAATATCATCAGTCTTGGTGGAAAAGCTCACTGCCCCTTCAAGTTGCGGAGTTTCCAGGCTATCCAGAGGGGTTTTTTAATCTTCCACCATGTTGCAGAGATGTGTCAGACCCGTGGCTCACACAGCAGCAGTATGGCTCAGATCGCTGTCTGGCCAGATCTTAGAGTGTCACTAGTCCATTTTCTGAAAGCAGGTTTTTTTTCCTTTTACAAATAATAACTCATCTGGAATAATTTTGCATCTGAAAGGCCACCTCCAATGCAGCTTTTTGATGCTAGGGATAGAAGACGCCGGTGTTGCCCTCCGGGACTGGAGCACCACTACCGTGGATGGGTTTAGCAGCTCTCCTCCCAGACACCCCCAGCTACTTCCCCTCCTTGGCAGAGGAACAATGAAGTACCCACAGTATCACTTTTCCTTGCCTGCATCTTTTCTTATTGTGTAATTTCAGTGAAAGCTTCAAAATCAGAAGCTGTTTTTCACTGCAGCGTGTCCTTGGCTCAGCCTCCCTCCCCTTCTCGCCCGCATCCCCCCCGCACGCGATGCAGGGAAACCTCGTCCCTGGTTTCCTGGGGGAAAGGCTGACTCGTGGAGCCGTTTGCTCAAGAAATGTGGATTATGAGCCCTTCAGACTGCCTTCACTCCTGGGCTGAGCGAAGGGGTGCCTCGTGCTGCCAAACCCTCGCCTGTGCGAGCGCCGTGATTGTGCCTCGTCCGCGCTGTGCACTCTCCGCTCTGAAGAGCACAGGGCAAATAATAAGCTGTCCCCTGGGGCTTTACTAGCTGTATGTGCTGGTAATGAAATTTCAGGTTATTTAAATACCTAGGGAGGAAAAATCTCATTTTCTTCATCTTCTCCAGGACTTTTCCCGCTTTTGTTTCAGTCCCTGGTAGCAAAGCTGGGCCAGCGCGAGCCCCCATGCCGGGCACGCGCCGGGGGCTGCCGCTCCGTGGGTCTCTGTGCTCTGACCCCCCGGTGACCCTTGGCTTGGTAGAGGGATGGATCTGTACATTATACATGGGGACAGCAGGATAGTTCATATTTTTCAACAGCGTTTTCTATTTTTTCTGAGGCCACAGTGAACCTTGGCACTACTGGTGTTAGTCCGTGCCTCTCGCCTAACCGTCACATCTTTCCTGATAAAATACACAAGTTTAAAGTCAAGTGCGACTCTCTAGAGAGCAGCTCAGCACCAGTATGGATGGTGTGCATTGCTGGTAGTTGGCTTCCTCAGCCCAGGGACCGCCCGAGACCCAGCCGGGAGGAAACTGCCGTGGCACGGTGCACGGAGGAGCCGGTGAACCCGGGGGGTGTGGGCTGCATGGAGCAGCGCTGGCACGTCAGCTGCACCAAAGGGGCAATAAAATCAGGTTAAAATGGAACAACTGCTGCTCTTAAAACATTTAAGAGAGTGCTCATAGAAGGATTTTTTTTTTTTTTTTAGTGTATCTTGATTTGCCTCTAAAAATCAATTTTGAAATTATTTTATGGCAACTTTTATGAACATTGTCTGCTCTTCTGTTATAATCACACCCTGCTTTGGTTTACATCTTTCTCCCTTCATCCCATCTTGCTTTCCATCTGGCAAATGATTCAGCTGTAAAAGTGGCACCACTCTGGCACATCTGGAAGAAAATGGCTTTTTGCTTCAGCAGCCCGCAGCTTTGCTTTTGTGTAGGCCCTATTAAAACTATGGTCGTGTCTTTAAATCTCTCTGCTGGAGAAGACCCTTCTCTGGCTCACTGGTGAATTAACACCTTATTTTTCTTTCCTTTCGAAGCAGCTTCCTCCTTCTTTCTGACCTTCTCCCATGCAAACAGAGATGGAAAAATTCCCCAGGGCAGGGCTGAGCCCCGCACAGTCAAGACAGCACGTCAGGGCAGCTCTGGGGCCCCAGGTCTGGCAGAAACAAAATGTCCTGGAGGGGAAAAAGCAGTTCTTATTCTGTCTTGGATTTTTGCATGCCCACCCTCCCCCCGCCCCGCCCCCCCCCCAAGAAAAAAAAATGGGAACTGAACCCATTGTTGGTAACCTGTAACTCATCGCTGACTTCATCTCACCCAAGGCACCAGGTGCAGGTTTTGGTGACTAAATCACATCTCCGCTTCCCTGAGCCACAATGCTCCGAATCCCAGAGCCCTGGCTGGGACCGGCTCCACGGGCTCCTTTGGGGGGATTTGTTATAATTAAAACAAATATCTGGAGAATTTGTTGCTCAGCAGAGACTTTGAGTGGGAGGCACTGGGTCCTGCCCCATATTGAGGCTCCGGCAAGTGCCAGGGGCCCCAGGGGAAATTCATTTTTCTTTATTTTAATGTAATTAAAATTCCCCGCATGGCTAAGGCTGCTGCATCGTAGCTTCTTGGTTGAAATGCTGCTCCTGTGCTGGGTAAACAGAGCGTCTTCCTGGGCTCCTTTCTGCATAGGAACCGTCCCCCATCAGATAGCACAATTCTCTTGAGGCATATCTCCATTGGGAGAGGGTTTAAAAAGCAGATAAATAAGTGGTCTTGGCAGAGCTGGCATATCAGCCTGCGCTGGAGCAAGGAAGAGGTTTGGCAGTTAAATGCACTAACCTCCCTATCTTCCACTGGGCCTCCTCTTGGTTTAATTAAAAGAGCTTGGAGTTATCAAGCACATGAGGGAAATCAATGCTTTTTCCCCCCTCCCTGCAATAGCCGTGCAGGCTGAGCTGTGATCTTGCCTCTCTGAGAGCCCCACTGCATCGTCCCCTGGGAGAGTTTGATTCAATTGAGTGACTTTATTTTATTATTTATCGATTTCTTTTAATTATTTTTTTTGTTGTTGTTGTTTTTCTTTTCCCAGGCTTCCAAACCCAAGGTGAGCATCCCGCTGTCGGCCATCATCGAGGTCCGCACCACCATGCCCTTGGAAATGCCTGACAAAGACAACACCTTTGTCCTAAAGGTGAGAGCAGGGCAGCAGCGGTGCGTAGCCCAACGGGGACCCCCTCTGCGTCTGCATCCAGCCCCCACTGCAGGGATGCTCAGTTCCCAAGGGGATCGTTGCCTTGGTTTTTGGAGCTGAGATGCCAACGGTGGTAACATTCCCCATGGGGTCCCTGCCTCCCCTCCCCGGGTTGTGCTCCCCGCCTCAAAATGACGCAACCTCCACCCGATGCCTGGGTATTCTGGGATTGAGCTGTTTGTCTGGCTTTCACCGTGGGGTTTTGCCTGTGTCACCAGGAGATGGGTTAAATTAGTGCCCAGAGACAACCTGCAAGGGGAAATGCTCTTTGGGGTGGCTGCCCCAGATGGGTGGCATGTGGTAGACATTTCATTGATACGGGACGATGGGAATGGCTGTGCGGGGCCACCAAGGCCCTGGGGATCAACCACCCCAGTCCGGGGGCACGAGCAGAGAGGGAAAGTCTTTCTCTCTCCAGAAAGAGTTTTCCATATCGTACAATGAATTGAGCAGCAGCCTGTGACAGTAGATCATGGCTGAATTTTGCAGGGTCCCAGCTCAGGGTGCGATGTGCCACCATGACGTTGGACACGTTGCTGGGGATGGAGTTTCTCTCCAGTTAATGAGGCTGTGCCTCCTGCTAGTGGATTTGTGCTCTCCATCAGAGCTGTTGGACGTGCCTGGCTGGGAGGTGGCACGTGTATGTAGGGGAACACCAGCATTTTGAGGATTTCTGTGCCCTACCTCTTCTGAAAAAACACCTCTCCCTGATACTTCTCCCTAAAAGCATGTGGAAAAGGCAGAGCAGAAAGACCAGGCTTTCTGGCTGAATGAAACTGCTTAGAAAACTATGAAAGCAGAGGAGGGAAAAATTTGAGCCTGGCTTCATGAAAGCCCCTGCGCCTGGTCGCCTGCCTGGAAAACCAGCAAACTCTTGTAAAGGTCCCACACCTTCTCCTGGCAGCCTCCTCCAGGGCATCCTCCCTGCCCCAAGGGCTTCTTGCTGTTCAGCCTCAAGCTCTGCTGCGGTCAGTGTCCACCATGGACACAGAGGCTAATTCAGCTGTTGTCTTTTGTGCCTCAAAGACCAATCTCGTGCATCTTCTCCTCTCCAGACTGACCAGCCCAAGGTCATCCTTGCTTTGTCATGGGCTCTGGAGAGAAAATGCTCCAAAGTGTACGTGCTGCTGTGGCCAGGAGCGGATGGGAAGGATTACTTCTCCTTTATTGTTCCTCTTTATCCAGCCCAAGTTGATCCAGTTGCTTTCTTCGTACCAGTGATGATGTTGACTCATACGCAGGTTGTGGGCTGGTGTAACCCCTCGATGCTTTTTGCAGAATGGCTTTGGAGTTGTGGTTCCCCAGCCCAGACAATCAGTGTGAGCTCAGAGCTCGCCCCTGTCCTTGATCTTGGGCATTTTCTTCCAGCAAGCATTTCTCAGTTCATTTGAGTTCTCGCCTCATCCTCCACCACACTTGCAACACGGTGTCCTCCGTGAATTGATTAGGCATCCTCGCTTTGCTTTTGTCCTCATCATTACTGAAGAGCAGCACACACGGAGAGAGTCCTTGATGTGAAGGAGCTCTGAGCATATCCCTCAGCTTTGATTGTTAGTCATTGATAATTCATTAACTGTCAATAACTGCTCGTGGAATACGGCTCATCAGCTACTTCTGATGGTATTTTCTAGATTCCCTTACAAGTTTCATCTCAATCATGTCTTGCTACCTTGCTTGCTGGAGTGTCACATCAGTGTCCGAAGCGTGACCAGCATCAAGGATGCGGCTTCTCCCTGTCACTGGGGTTGTCACAGGCACGAGCCGATGCGTTCAACAGGATTTGGTCGTGGCAGATCCCTGTTGGGGGGATGCAGCTCTGGGGGGCTTCCTGGGTGCCTGTGGAGGGCTGGTTGCTCTGGCTGCTGGAGGAGGGCTCTGCGCTTGCCCTCTTCCCATCTTCTGGAGCCAGTCGTGCTCCACTAACAGCTCTGTAACTGTTCCAGCCGTTTCTTTAATTACCCTGGGGAATGCTCCCAACCCTGCCCGTCTGAACATGCCTGATTTACCAGGTACGCTCCTGCCCCAGTCTGACCAGGGCGCTTACCCTGCCGCGGGGTTAATTAATTGCAATCGATCCTTTGAGTGAGCTGAGACAGCGCAGGCAGCATTGAGCCCATCTGTTCACTCCCCATCTCCTGCTGCCCCCCTCCCACCGCTCCAACCAGCCTTTGCCCTCTTCTCATGGCTGTCGGAACAAGATGCTTTTTCCCTATTCCCGACATTGATTATTATTTGTAGCTTATTTTCTGCTCTGGCCCTTCTTGCTGGGACATCTTCATGCTGCTCTTTTGCATTCCCTCTTTGCTGGCTGGACTCGCAGAGGGGGGTGAAGCACCCCTTGATGCTGGGGTACAGATTAGAGGGGTAAGAAAGGGAGCTGGGTGCTGTGGTTTCCCCCTAGCCTTCCCGTGTACGGGCTTGGTGTGGAGCCCAACCTCAACCTTCACACGCAGCATCCTGCACTTTGGCAGGTTATGATGGGTGGAAAAGCCCTTGCCTTGTTTGGGGAGGCCACGCTGGAACAGTTTCTGCCAAATTGCCTAAAAATTAGCAGGCAGCATGTCCCCGCCGCCCGTCAGACACCAAGTACATGCATTTTTTTCCATTGCACAAGCAGGCACTTGCAAAATACCCAAGGCCTGCACGTGCTTTGCCTGCTGTCATGCTCTGTGTGAGAGAGCAGCCCCATCTCCCACACCAGCCTCATGCATTGCCTACGGAAAGCCAGAGAGGCTCCTTTGCTCTGGTTAAATAAAAATGGGGTGGGGGGGGATCTTTGCTGCTCCCCTCCACCTCTGCTCAGGGCAGGATCCGTGCGCAGCCCCGGGCTGCAGCAGGGGAGCAGGCTGCTGCTCGGCCTCAGTCCCTGCGCTGGGCACCGCTCCCTGCATGCCCTGCTTATTTTCAGGACAGTGATTCAGTTGTTTGTGATTAATTTAATTTGCTTAGGAGGTTGTCTCAGCAGGCAATGCGATACCCTCCCGGAGTCAGGGCTGCTTCACCAGCTCGGGAGCGTGATACGTGATGGGTCTGTGAGGGATGCGGGGAAACCTGCCAGAGGCACGCAGGATCGTGTCGCGTGGCTTCCGAGACCCGCTGCTCTGTTGCTGACGTGGGGCTTCTGGGTCCTCCCTGGCCCCAGAACAGCCCAGCTCTTTTGGGCCTGCAATTTTGGAGCCCCTTTTGCATCCTGCTTTTTTTTTTTTGTTGTTGTTGTCTTTGTTTTGCCTTGTTGAAATGGGTTTCTCTCCCATCCTACTGGAGTCAGAAATCAGAAGCCTCATGGACCAGCAGGCAGAAAACGTAACAGAAGAGAGATTTTAAACTCCTGAGTTTAGGGGTCTGGCAGGATTTGGGGGCAGAGAGCAGCATGGCTTCTGCTCTACTTGTGCAGAGTTAGTTTTTGGGGGACATGGAGGCCACCCCAGAAGCGGGGGATGCTATTTGTGCTGGTGTGTGGTCCCATAAACCCCTGATGCTTCCGGCCAGATGTGGTTTTGCCACGGAGGCTGTAAAAACCTTGCAATGCATTTGCTGATAATGGTGGGATGGGGTTTTTCCTCTGAGCCCCGGCTTTGGTGAGGGATCACCCTTGGACACAGCAAAGCATCTCTGCGGGTCACCCCCCAGCATCCCTTTGCTAGGATTAGGCAGGGCACTTATCCTCCCCTGTTCAACCGAGGCACTATGTAACAGCAGCAGGGGAACGGGGGGGTCCAGCTGGGTTATGGGGTGTGCTTTGCCCTGGGGTGGGTGGCAGGACCCCGGCGCAGCCTGACGCTGTCCTGCATTGCTTGCAGGTGGAGAACGGGGCCGAGTACATCCTGGAGACCATCGACTCCCTGCAGAAGCACTCCTGGGTGGCAGATATCCAGGACTGCATCGACCCCGGGTAAGGCTCGCCGGAGGAAGGTGCTGTGCGGGGGCCGGGCTCACCACCGCTGCGCTGCCCTCGCCACCGAGCACGGGTTGTTACCCCTGATGCAATTTCTGCTCCTCGGGTTATTACAGAAAGTCCCTGACTCACGCCAGCAGAAGTCTGGAGGCAAAGTTAGCAGCCTGTGTGTGTCAGAGGTGCAGCCTCGCAGAACACGGGCTGCTTGCTCACCCTTTCCTGCTCCATATTGCGAGGCAGAGGCAGGTGACATATGAACGCAGCCCTCAACACAGGAAGCTTCTAACACCCACCCTCTGAAGCTTTTATACTATATCTGAGCTATTTTCTATGCTTTCTTCCAGTCCAGCATCCATGCTACATATAAGATTCTGATGGCTAAATGGATTTATGTTTCTATCACTGTGGTATTAATGCTGTCACTGGAGTCACAACAACTCTGCCAAAACTTCTCACCTGCTTTTTCACCTGCCCATGCCTTGGGTTATGCTGCGGGGAGGTTCGTGTGCCCGGCGCTGCTGCCCTGCAGCTGGCTCAGGCAGGATCAGCCCAGGCGCTTCTTGGGCTCCGGGGAAACCCTGGCACTGCCCTTCCTGGCACAGTTTTGATGAAACAAGGTGTCTAAGCTTGCAGAGCTGGAACAAGGGCTTGGAGAGGCTCCAGCTGCCTTTGCCCCCTTCTGCTGGAGAGATGCAGTTTGGGCAGAGCAGGGTCAGTCACAGTGGAGGCTGTATCTCACTGGAAGGACGCACTAATGCACTCCGGATCTGTGCTCCTTCAGCTCTTTTTGCTGTTTTTTAAAACGTATAATTCAAGAAGTGATGCCGGGGCTGGGCTGCTGACGGAGGCGAGGCTGGGAAACAGCCGTTTTTTTTCCCACTGCCTGTTTCGGTGCTGGTTTTCCAGCTGGAGCCAAGTGCTGTGGCCGTGCTCGCCTCAAGCCGCAGCAGAAGCTGCCGGCAGCCCTGCGCCAGCCCCTCGCTCTGCTGCCGGCAGCCTCCCAGCCTTTTATGTTTGCTTAGCACCCAGCACAGTCCCGCTTTGGCCTCCGGACGTGACTGTAAAAGCAAATAATAATGAACTCCAGAGCAAATAATAATGAGCTGTTTAATACACCGACACACACGCTCGGTGCCAAGAGCGAATTCTCAATCAGCTCCTGATGCTTTTGCCAAGGGCCGTGCGCTGGAGCCGCCGTGTGAGCGCCCGTCGACGGCTTTTCTGCAAAGCGCTGTTGGTTTTGGTTTCCTTCCTCCCTTCTCGTTTTTAACTGGCTGCAGCTGAATGACTCCCAATGGCTGATTCACTTACTGGCCACTAAATAATTCAGCAGCTCCCCCGTGAACCGTTACCTCTAATGCAGCCGCTTCCTCACTGCCTGTGCCCACGTGGCCGCCGTTAAGCAAGAGTAGACGAGTGCTGGGGGCAGCTCTGGCAGTGCTGGGCTCTTGCTGGCAGCCAGGGTCAAAATAAGCCGTGGAGCAAGTTGGGGGGGGCTTGTGCAAGAAGGGTGCTAGAGTGCATGGGCAGGGGTTGGGCAGCTGGGCTGCTTTCAGTGGGGGCTGCACTGCTGCACCCCCCCTTGCTCTGTTCCTGCTCACTCTGGGCTTCCCAGCTTGTTTTTTTTTGGTGTCTTTTAGGGATGTAATTCCTGTGGGGTGATAATTCCCTTCGTGGAGGGTGAAAGGGAAAGCACCCGTGGATGAAAGTGGGTGTGATGGGAGTGTGCGTGTGTGTGTGCAGATGACTTGCAAAGCAAAGTGCTGAAAGTCAAGGTAACGGATTTCCATCCAAACCGACAAGGTTGCAGCAAAATACTGCAGCTAGGACTGACAGGCATGACCCACGTAGTGAGGGCTTCCAAGTGTTTAATCCCTCCCACGCTGGTTTCTCACCCCAAAAAAGCCATGCCGTTCTGCCAGCCGCTCTGCCTCTCAGTGCTGCGGGTGCGTCTGCCCCTGGCAGCCCCTCCGGGAGGAAGCCAGGAGCACTGGGATGCGCTCCCAGATCACCGCCGGAATTTCAGTCGGTCGAGTCCCCGTCGCATGCCTGTGAGCGGGGGAGCCCCCCATCCCTGTCCCTGCAGCACGGCAGCCGGCGTGTGACCGTCTGCTCTGTGCTCTCCCCCCAGGGACAGCGGGGACGACATCGAGCTGGCGTCCTGCGGGCAGGGAGCCTGTCTGCCGGGCAGGGTGTCCTCCTGCAGCTGCGAGTTCCTGGCTGATGGTAAGGACTTACGTCTGGGAAAAACACCCGCCAGGGAGGGTGGGCACCTCTGGGGGCCAGCTCTGGTTTGGAGGGGGACAGATCCTGCCAGCGATAAAGCGAGGGAGCCTGAAGCAGGTGCTGTGGGGACGGATCTCCCTCTATCCATCGCCTTCCTCTTCCTCACGCTTGTCCCTTGCCCTGGGGAGGTGGCCCACCCCTGCTGAAGACATCGATATTGCCACTGTACATCCTGGTTTGTGCAGAAAATCAAGTCGCTGCCTGCAGGCACTGGGGTCTCTGGGCCCCAACAAGCACCCTCCGCCTGCACAGCCCCACCTCATGTCTATGCCCAACCAAGACACATCTCTGCCTCACATCTCGGCCGCACCAGGGGAAGGAAACCCAGCACAGGCTGAAAGGGAGTCCCCCAAGCTGTGGCCAGAGATGTAACCTAGCCCTGAGACGTCTCCAAGAGCCAGGGGTGCCCCAACGCGGTTGCCGTCAGAGCAGGACAGCCCCCAGCCTTGTCCAGCAATGGTGGGCGATGCTGAGCCATGAGTTTATCCCTCTGCAAACTCCCTTCCAGATGTGCCCAGGCCACCGGACAGATGTGCCCTGCCCAGCACTCACAACACCACCGTGGCCTCCACCGTCCCCGTGCCCCACAGCAGGGGCAGGGACTCCCTGGGGGAGCTCCTCACCCACGTCCCACTGGAGAGCTTCCTGCAGACGCTGGAGTCCTCCCCTGCCGCTGGTGGGCATCTCGCAGGTACCGGGATGCAGGATGCGGCCCCAGCGCCTCACTCTTTGGGGTGCATGGAGGGAGAGGAGGAAAGGGTGGGACAGGGTGATGTCTGGGTGCTCCCTAAAAATCCTGCTGTCCCTGCGGCCAGGGGAGGATAGCGAGGCGGAGGCAGAGATCAACCTCTCCGACTTCCCCTGGTTCCACGGGACTCTCTCGCGGATCAAGGCGGCTCAGCTGGTGCTCTTCGGGGGTGCCCGGAGCCACGGCTTGTTCGTCATCCGGCAGAGCGAAACGCGGCCAGGGGAGTACGTGCTGACCTTCAACTTCCAGGGGAAAGCAAAGGTGGGTGTCCTCCGCTTCTCCCCGAATATTAGTGCCAGCCCTGCCCAGCACCCTGAGCTCCTTCCCACCCTGCTGGGGCTCTGCCAGCAAGCGGGTGCCATGTGGTGACCCCAAACATGGCAGCTCATCCCTTGGGACCCCAAGAGCCATCTGCACACTGCGCAGCCCCTTCAGCCCTCTCCCAGCTTGATCGGTGCCTGCCACGTGGGCATAAGGTTAAATACACCACGAGAGCCCAGCATAGCCTGGCACATCGTTCCCTGCCCTTTTCTTGTCCACTCCATGTCCTGAAGTACACGGATGCACTAAAAAAAAGCAACCCACATGTAGTTTTCTGCTGGGTCCCTTTTCTACTAGAGGGCAAATGCTGTGAGGGATTGAGATATAACTGCCTGGCCTCGTCACCCATCCCACATGAAGTAGTTCAGGCAGGCTGTGGGCTTCCCTAGGCTGGCTGCGCCACCAGGATTGGAGCTGCAACCCCCCTGCCCTCAGCTGCACCCAGCCACCCTTCTGTACAGTGCTTGTCACCAGGAGGAGATAAACTGCTGCTTCTGTACAATGTTTGTCACCAGGAGGAGATAAACTTCTCCTGGGGCTGCCAGCGAGTGGGGTTTCGCAGGAAACACCCTGCAGCAGGAGACGGTCCCAGCTAGGCAGGGAAAAAAATAACAGTCCTATGTTAGGAGCAAGCCTCCCTTGGCTGAGGGAGGTGGCTCCTTCTGCTGATGGCAAGGGTGAATCTCACCCTTGCAACCCCCGGCTCACCCGCTGGCCCCCCTGCCCTTGCAGCACCTCCGCCTGTCGCTGAACGAGAGCGGGCAGTGCCACGTGCAGCACCTCTGGTTCCAGACCATCTTCGACATGCTGCGCCACTTCCACACGCACCCCATCCCGCTCGAGTCGGGCGGCGCGGCCGACATCACCCTCCGCAGCTACGTCGTGGCCCAGAGCCCGCTGCCCGGTAGGTGCCAGGGCCAGGCAGGGCCGCGGCTGCACGTGGAGGGTTGGATTAGTGCTTGGGCTGGGATCTTGCGTGGACCTGAAAGGGATTGATCCCTGGGATTCCCCCCGCCGACCCCTCTCCCTAAAGCTGCGTCAGCGACGGCGTGCGTGGCTCTGGGGAGGCACCAGGGTGGGCGTTATCCCATTGAAGGTGGGCAGGGAGGGCCACGCGGCAGCGGGGCTGTGCCAGGGTGACCCGTGTGTCCCCGGCTGTGGGTGTCAGTCCCCCGGCTCGGGGGTGGAACGAAGGGGTCTGTGGGGCTTGGAGCGTCCCGCTGTGCTGGGAGAAGGTGGGCAAGGTGGTTTGGGGAAGGACAGGGTCAAGGATGGAGAGGGCAAACAAGGCAGAGTGGGCATGGGAAGGTGCCAGTGAGGGAGACGGCGAGGCCAAGCCCCCAGGCAGTGTTGGAGGGGTCAAGCTCCTGTCTCCCTTGCAGACACCGGCCCCCCGCCAGCCCCCGTGTCGCAGCCACCAGGCTGCCGTGTCGACCTGCCGCCTCCGCACTACTTCTGCAGCACAGCACCCACCAGCCTGCCGGCCCCGCCGCCCGCCGAGGGGGTGGCTGTGGCCCCCGCTGCCACCGTCCCTGCACCCTACCACCGCCTGGAGGGTGCCCTGGTCCCCCGCAGCCGCAGCGACAGCACGGAGCGCCGGCCGGAGCCCCCCGCCGCCAGTGCCGAGGACTACCACGAGGCTGACGGTGCCCGGAGCCGGACCCGGGCAGTGGAAAACCAATATTCCTTCTACTGAGCCCCCCCGTGCCCAGGGGCTGGATGGTGGGGGGATGCAGGGCACCCCTCACCGCTGCACCAGCCTCTCCACCTCCTCCTGCCGCCACCAGCAACCCAGCCGGGATGTCCTTTTTGCTCCCTGCCACTTCCAGGAGCCGTGCCAGTGGCAGGCAATGTCCCAGTTGGACCCAGTGCCAGCCCCGAGGTTGGGGCAGTGCTGGGGGTTTGGGGGGGCTGAAAGCATCAGTGCCATTTTGGAGCTTGCGGCCTCTTCTCTTTCCCTCTGGACCAAGAGCTCTCCCGGGGCCAAGCCGCGCTCCCTGCATCTCCTCCCTGGGGACGCCCATCGTGGGATGGCAGCCCGAAGCTGTGACAGGCTCCATCCTCCAGCCAAAGCACCTCAGCACGTCCCCTCTGAAGCGAGAGCCCAGCGTGGCCAACAGCCCTTCTGGCACCGTGGTGCCGCAAACCAGCCGCTGAGGGGCCCGGGCATTTCGGGATGGCCACAGAAATAGCAGATCCTCACACAGGGGCTTTTCTCACACACACGGATCCGTGCACCCAAGAGGACACTGCTGCAGAGGCCTGAGGGTTTATCTAGGCTGGCTTTCAGGCTCCCTCTGGGGAGCGCACTTCCTAGAAAGTTTTTTTCCCAAAGCTTAATGAATCGCATTCAAGGAAGGGTTTTTTCCTGCTGTCCTGCCATTTCTGTTCCTTTGTCCTTTCTCTCCTTGCTGTACCTACAGACAGTCTCTGGATAACCCCTTTCATCCTCCCTTCCTTGCTTTTTCAAAACCTAAGCTCTCTGCATGGGCATCGGCTCAGCCTTCTGCCTTCTCTCTGCCGCAGCCAGGCAATATTTTCCATTGCTCAAGGCAAACCTTGAAAAAGATGACAACACCCCCGCTTTGCATCAGTTAGTTATTCAGGATGTCTCAGGGGGAGTCAGAGAGAGGCCAGGGGCTGTGTCCAGAGGTGAGGGGCAGCCTTGCCCTGCAGGTGCTTGGCTGGGCTCCCAGGAATGGAAACACTAAACATCTTCAGTGGGTACTATTGACGGATATTTTTTTCCCTGTGAGAAATAGAAATGCCCAGAAAGAGCAGAAGGAATGGGGCTGCTGCCAGGTGGGTGAACAGCCAGCTGCCGTAGAGGGGCCAGGCCAGGCTGACTGCAGCGACGGGCGGAATTGCCCTCGCCGATGGCTGAAGTCCCTCCCCAGCAAATGTAAAACCCTGCCAGCGACGGCTGTAGCAGCCCTGCTGCCGGGAAGGACCGGGCGCTGCAGCGGTCCCCGCTGCTTGGTGGCTTTCTGATAGATGCATGTGCAGCCACGTGCATCTATAGCAGAAAAAGGAGGTCCCCCGGTAGAGATGAGCCCTGGAAGAGAGTGTAGAGCAGCAACCCGCTGTGGCCAGGTATGCATGATGTTGTCAATGCTTTTCCAGCAGGTCACCAAAGCCCTTCGGCTGGTTTTACAGGCCAGGCTGCTTACGGGGACTGTGTGCCGCACGTGGGGTGGGAGGCCCCCCGAGAGGGCAGCTTTGCTTGCAGACAAAGTGCTCGCATGTCCCTCTTGGTTTGCCTCACCCAGCTTTTCTTCCCCATCACCAGGACTCCTGGCCCTTCGTGTGACTGCCAGGCCTGGGTGACAGTCTAGTAGGACCTTAATGAGGTGACTTTGAAGTGTCTGGATAGGTCTCCAGGTAGGGCAGACCCCACCGCGCCCAGCTAGATGTTACCACCTAGTGCAAAGAGAGGTATGAGCCAAGCCACAAGCTATCTCAAAACCCCTTGAATTTGCCTGGAGTTTTGGGTTGGGTACAAATTTATTTTTTTAAGGTGCCTTCTTTCCTGAGCTAGCAAAGCCTGTCCCCAGCCCTGGAGTCACGTGTCTCTCCCACTTCAAGAGGGCAGGGGAGGTGTCTCCAAGGCTTCTTGCCGCCTCCTGCTCTGTGAAAGCTGCCTTTCTGGCCCATGAGTACATGAGAGAAGGGCTGGTGGATCTCATTCCTGCAGCAAATGCAGGAATCTCCCCAAATACGTGGCCCTTCAGACAGCAGCAGGAGCAGTTTGCTCAGGCAGGGGTATTTCTCCTTCCTCAGCACAGCTAAAACCCAGCTCCCGCAGCTGGGAGAGGCCACATGCTTTTGGGTGCTGGGTTTAAGATGGACCTGCTTCCTTCACGCGGTGAATGCGGGGGGACCTTCAGCTGCAACAGACACTGTCACTCTTGTTCTTCACAGAGGTCCCAAGGGGCCAGGTGGTTGTGGTGGGAGCTCTGCCTTACAGACCTTCAGGTGTTGGCTGATATTTCACCTTCTGCATCACGGGATAGGAAAAGGAGGGGGAAGCAATGATCTGCAAGCAAAAATGTTAATTTGTAAATAGGGAAAAGTCTGGAAGAGTTTACTGTTCTGTAGAATAAATTAATTTTATTTAAAAAAAAAAAAAAGGACTTGTTAAACAAATGGAGAACTCGAGTTCCAGTTTTAAAATAAAATCACTTGCAAAAAGGACAGCACATGAGCTTGGGGCTTTGCTGGATTTGCTACATAAAAAAAGAAAAATAGAGGGAGGATGCTGTCATGTCGCATGGGTGTAGACCTTGTTGCTATCTGGAGGCAGTTGGGGCTGGGCTCAGCCTGCCTCTGCCCAATGGAGCACACTGAGGATGGAGGAGAGGGGTATTTTTCTCACTGGGGAGCAGAGGGAGATGGAGGATGGGTCCAGGCTGCACAGTGCAGGGTTTCCTCTCCTCCCAGTCTGTTATTTTCTTTGTCTGGTTTGTCACTGGTGCAAGTCGGAATGTCTCCATCCCTGAAGCAGCACAGACAATAGTGAATTATCAGCCCTGGGGCATGAAGATGGACCTCCCTTGCCAGAGGCATGCACTAGCATCTCCTAGCAGCCAGTTCCCTGGAGCGTGTCATTCCCTCCTGCTGTGCCGTCGTCTCCTGGGAGGCAGTGCCTCACACTCTGCCATTGTATGTCTTTCTAGCGTGCTCTCTTCTGCTGAGGATCCCCCGGGAAAACTGGTACATTGTCCCAGACTGTACTGTCACAGCTAAGCAGCGTGACAGACACGGCTTCCAGACACAGCTAACACATGGCTTTGGGGGGGGCGGGGGGGGAGGGAGCTGCTCAGCTCTGTAATCAGGCCACGGTTGTGTCACCACGATCCATTCACAACAACGTCCCCTCCCCAGAAGTTTCCAGAGCCTGTTCACCGGTGCTGGAGAGCTCATCCATCAGGAGCTGGGCAGCTGGGGGGGTGACAGCCCCTCTGGACAGGCTCCTTCGCTGCCCGCAGGGCTATGGGCTGTGCCCGCGGTACAGCTGCTCCTCCTGCCTCAGAGTCAGCCCTCCATACCTCAGCGTATCAGCAAAACGACTAATTGCAGCACTAGTCTTGCTGGGAAACATCCCTTCCTTTCCAGGCAACAGCCCTGTGCATCAAACCCAAAGACTGAGTAGTGAACCAAGGGGAAACAGCCTGAGGGTGTGGGCTGGGCTGGATTGTGCGCCAGTGATACCCCCTGCCCGGGCACGGGGCAGTACTGGTCTGTGGGGATGCTGGCACTGAGCTGTACCCTGGCAGCTATTATGAAGAGGGCAAAAACGTGAAGGGATTTCAGCAGCACAGCCTCCCACGTTTCGCAGGGGTGTTTGAGCTGTCCACGGCTGCTCCTGCCCGCCTGACACGCAGGGTCTGTCTCAGCAAAGGCTTACAGCGCTTCCAGAAGGATCCCTCTGGCAGGAAAACTCCTCAGAATGCCTTTGCTCTGAAACACAAATGAGTTGTTTTGATATGGATCAGGGAGCTGATTTTTGTTCGATTTGCACCCAACTGTGAAAACACTCCCCTGTTCTAATGCAAATCCCGTCACCAGCAGGCCCAGTTCTGCCCAGATCCCAGAGATTTTGTGGGCTTAGTATTTTTAAATGGCATGATGTAATACTTCCTATTTTTGTATGACCCAAGTAATAATCTTGTCCCCCCTCCCCAGATAGATATATTTTAAAAGTAATATGTGCATAATGTACATCAAGAGTCTGCACCAATTCCCTAGGCATGTAGTTTGAGAGTGAGATGCTCCCAGGTCTCTTTCCCCACGCTCTTTGCGTGGGCTCCGTTGGATGACAGGCAACTGCCTGTCGTTTCCCAGGGCTGTGAGTTGTCACTGGCAGAAGCCACGCTTCAGGCAAGAGAATCGAGCTGCCCAGCTGCTCCCCGCAGCCCTTGGGCTGTCACAATGTCTGCAGGCACGGCTGCCATTCTGCCTTCTCCCCACAGGGACTGGCACGAGAGGGTTGAGACCTGACAGCTCATCACTCACACCCCCACTTTTGGAAGCTGTGCTTTGGAGAGGTGGCCACGACAGCAAGGAGGAAGAAACGGGGTGGCACCTTACAGGCTAGTGAGCCAGACTGGTTTGTGTTGTGCTCAGGACTCAGCAGAGCAGCGGGGAGAGGAAACTCAGTCGGTTTGCAGCAATTCTGCTTCTAAAACCTGTTCTGCAGTGATTGAGAGGGGCCAGGGGCATGTACCTGCCCTGGTCGCTGCAAATGGAGCTGGTGTCTCACTGGTAGGGGCTGAGTGCAAGCTGGCACCATCTGTTTTCTGTCCCAGTGGGCTGAAGAGGACCCAGGGCTGGGGGGATCCATGGGCACAGGAGCTCATGAGCTGGCAGACGGCATGGGGAAAGCTGTTTGTGTTGCTCCAGCCAGGGCTGCGACTGCAAGGATGCCTTCCAGGGCCAGCGCGGCCAGCTGGGAACTCAGCCAACGCTAAATTCACACCATTCTTTTACAAATCAGGTTGGTAAGACAAACACGAGGAGGCATAAACTAGTGTGATTTCCATAGCAACCTCAGTAGAGGTTGAAAAGTCTTTTGTAAACATAGGGCTGAACCTGAGGATCAGCTCAGATTTTCTTCATGGAAGGGGGAAGAGCATGGGGACTTAATAAATTCCGGTCATACAAATGACCCATAAATCTCAGGAGCCATTCCCAACCTCTCTGTTCCCCTTTCTGTCACCCACTCCACATGCACAGCACGAAGCCGTCTGAAACCCACACCCCAACTCCATTGCTCCAGCTTATCTCCATAAACTACACAAAGGCTTATTCCCCTCTTCCATCGCTGCTGACCTTTACTAGCTAATTCTCTGACGCACACACAGCCCAAGCACATGCCATGCCATTTCTGTAGGGCCACAGCAGCTCGACAAGAAAACTGGCTTGCGGAGGGAGCCTGTAGCACGGCCAGCTCCTCTTCCCCGCTCACGGCTTCCTCCGTCCCCGTCAGACACGCGTGGGTTGGGGCGTACAGACCCTCAGCTGGTCCAGACACGGTTCCTGCAAAGCCCAGGAGGGAAATATGAACGCAGAGACGGGGCAGCGTGTGTCGCCCTGCTCCCCGCCTGCCCCTCCGCTGTCGGGCATTGCGCTGCCGTTCATCGAAGTTTAATCACCAAAGTGACACGAAGAGATGGCGCCGGCAGCCGGCCGGGGACTCCCGCATCGCTCACACCGCCACGGGGACGCGGGAGGGGAAGGGGGTGCCACTGAATTTGCACCCTCCTCGGGGCTCTGCTGCCAAGGGCTGAGCCTTGCCAGCGGCTCCCGCAGGGTGCAAGCCTGCGCCCGCCGCCAGCCCCGGGGAAGGTGCCCGGAGCTCCGCAGGCCTCGGCGGCAAGCCGGGAGCTGAGAGGCGGGGGCCGCCTTCAGCCCCCCCCGCCCCGGCACGGCCGCGCCGCTGCCCGCTTTGGCCTGAGGGCCCCCATCTCCCCCTCGGGGCTCTCCCTCCCTCCTTCCCGCCCGGCCCGGCCCCGCCGCCATGACAGGCGGCCGCCGTGCCCCGGCGCGTCGCGCGGCGTGACGTCGACGGCGGCTCGCAGCCCTGCCCGTCATGGCGGCGCCCTCGGCCCCGCGGCCGCCCCGGCCCCGCAAGGAGCCGCAGCCGCTCGTCATCCCGCGCAGCGCCGCCGAGGAGCAGCGCCTCCGCCTCGAGCGCCTCATGAGGAACCCGGTGAGGGCACCCGCGAGGGGAGAGGGCGACCGAGACCCCCCCACACACACACACCCCGCCGGGGTCCGTCAGCGGAGATTGAGCCCCGCCTCTTCCCGCCCCGGTTTTGTGAGGGGACACGGAGCGACCCCCGCCCCGGCGGCATGAGGGGAGACGGAGCGACCCCCGCCTCCTCCCGCCCCGGTTCCATGAAGGCAGACGGATCGATATCCCTCTTTCTCCTCCCCGGGTCCTTGCGGGGAGAGGGACCGAACCTCCTACCAGCACCCCCGGGGGCTGTGAGGGGAGAGGGAGCGATCCTCCTCTGCGGTTCTGTAAGGAGAGAGAGACCGAGTCCTCTCTTCTTCCTCCTCGTGTCCGCGAAGGAAAAGGGGCCGACGCCACCTTCCCCGCCCTGGGTCTGTGAGGGGAGAGAGGCCGACCCCCCCTCACACCCCGGGGTGCCGTGAGGGGAGAGGGCCCTGGCTTTCCTGGGGTGCTGGGAGGGGGGAGGCCTTTTTCTGGGGACCCAAGGGGAGGGCTGGCCCCCCAGTGCTCTGCCTGCTGGTCTTTTGTCTGCCTGCTGCTTTTAATGGGGGGGAGCGTGACCCTGGTTCCTCTAACTGGGAGTTTTTGTCATTGTCCTGAGAAGGAAGTGTTTGCCAGGCGGAGACTCTCACCCTCCCTCTCTGCGTGCTGGAGGAGGCTGAGACATCCCTGCACTGTATTCTTCCTCTGACCTTGCACGGTGTGTTCTCCCTTCCCTGTCCTCTGTAGATCTGGCATGGAAAGCGCACAAATGCCTTTCATCACTTCCCAGACAATTGGTAGTGGGAGTATACTCAGTTTCTGCAAGTTTTCGGAGGTGTTGACTTGCTTCCTTCTGGTTTCCATACTGAAAAGAAGCACAGACACTCTTAATCCTCCTGGGGTTTGTTGGCCTGCAGGCCTGAATGTGAGGGAGAAAGAGGATACCTTCTGATTCTCATTTTATGCCTGCTGCTGATCCCTATTCATGAAGAAATTACTACAGCTGTTGTCTTTCTGAGATCTCTCAGCTGATGGAAGAGGCTGTTGTCAGACATACACCACCTTTCAACAATGTGTTAAAATTGCAGACTTCTCTCCTAGAAGATACTGGTGACTGGTTGGTTTGTTCTTGCAGGAAAAGACTGTACCAATTCCTGAAAAACTGAATGAATGGGCACCACGACCTCCCCCGGAGTTCGTCAGAGATGTGATGGGTAAAAATACTATTCTTCAGATAACTATAGGGTCAGCTACATTAAACTTAGAAAAGTGTTTAACAGAAAAGGCCAGAGATGGTTTTCTGTTGTTGCTCATTTTGTTGGAGAAAAGAGGTATGAAATGTGATTCGAGAGTTGCTTTTTCAATTTTTACTTGGTTCTTGGGTTCCAGTTCTATTTGGTTCTTGGGTTCCAGTTTTCTGCTTGTTGTCAGAATGCAAAGTGAGCAATGCTTGTGGCACTCCAGTACATGGACTGCATGCAATAAAATAAACTGCTGCTCTGGTGGTGACAAGTAAATGACGATAAGTAAATCTGTCCTTTCCAAGGATCTGAGAGTGCTCTGGAGACTTATGAAGTCCCTCTTTTGGCTGCTTTGAGTCTGAATCCCGGGCAGTAAGAAGCAGACATGTGCAGCGGGTAGGGATCTAGCAGCTGTGTGAGGAACCCGACCCAAGTATTCTGCTTACACTTTACCTTCGTGGATTAAATGTACTAGTTGTGGTATAAATTTCATGTACATGTAGAAGTTCTGTCTTTCTTGGGGACCTTCATCCTTATTAATGATCCTTTCTAGAGGCTGACTTGTTCTTAGTTCAGAATAATTGATCTTGGACTAAAGCTTTTATACACTTCTGAATAAACTTTTCTGCTTACTGTAATTCCCTCACGGCTTTTTCAAATAGCTTTGCTGTGTGCTTGAGTTGAACTGTCTTGTTTTTCTGGGAGCATCTGACATGCTGGGATTCTGTTGGTATCAAGAGCAACCCTTTTGCAGTGCCAGGTGCCATGTTTTAATTACCAAGCGTCTTCTTCAAGGCATGTATTTGTGTGCTTTGTATTGAGAAATGGCTCAGGAGACAGAGGAAGAGAATGGAGTGTGATGATGAAAGCTCCTGTGAGATGTCAACATGCAGACTGATGTCAGGCAGAGAGCGCTATAGAGATTTCATTTATGAAGAAATGGTCGAAAACTGCCAGTGATATGTCTGGCATGGGAAAGTATAATATGGTGGGGGGTCTATCACCTTTCACTTGGCCTCTATTTTTTTGTATGAGATGCTGAAAATGAGTCAGAAGCAGCCTCGGTAGGATGTTTTAGCTCACCTCGGAATAAAAGAGAATGGGGTGTGCAATTGATCTCTAGTTCTTTCACTGCCTCTGTGTCCAGCTAAGACCGAATTCTCTCTAGGGGAGTAATGGACCAGTAGAACCTGCAGTGACCTGTAAGTGTACGGTTTTGCAGCTCACTTTGGCTTTTGATTGTGAGTGATTTGGGCTTATATAAAATGGTGACACACTCTGTGTGTTGTTAGTAGATTTTCATCTTCACAGTGCCCTTTCATATGTCCTGTCTCTCAGCATCTAGCTGTAGTCATTTGTGAGCATCTAGTATACATTATTTTCTAGTAGACTAACTCTTCTTTATTGTAGGTTCCAGTGCTGGAGCTGGGAGTGGGGAGTTTCATGTGTACCGGCATCTTCGTCGGCGGGAGTACCAGAGGCAAGATTTCATGGATGCCATGGCTGAGAAGGTCAGCAGGACTCTTTATAATAAAATTTCCTTCCTTCCCCCCCTTCCCCTCCCAATTATTTGGTGTTCATTGCAACTCTTTTTTTTCTTTTAAAGTCATGTACAAATAATTCAGTTCCAAACCACCCCTTATCAGAGGAAAACTGTGGGAGTATGTGATACGTGGTGTCTTTGTCAGTATTGAAACATTTGGTGCTTTGTGTCAGACATGCTCCATCTTCTCTGTTCACTGGGGGTCCTAGCACACAGTAAGACCACACATGAATGTGTGTGTTCTCAGGTTGGTTTGAAAATGCTTTAAAAAGTAGAAATCCCAGATATCACTGTCTTGCACAGACAGAGACAAAGCAAGTTTCTGTGCACAGAATTCGGATCTCTTTCTTTTAAGTCTTGGTTGAGTAGAATAGCACCTTTTTCAGAGAGCATTATTGTTATACTCTCTCAGCCAAGATGAGTCCTTTGATCCATACGTTAATGTCTGTGTCTCAAATTATTCTCTTGGTTTTACTGAAACGTTCTTTAGGATGGAAGCCTGACCTCCCTCATCTGTTTTGGTGAGGATTCCTCCCTCTGAGGGCTTCAATGCTCGGCTCAGGCTGCAGGTTAAAAATGCTGTTTGTACAGAAGTCATCCCTAGGAATATGACTTTTTGTATAAAGAAGCAGCCAGACAAAATCTGGCACAGCTCCCTTCTGTATTTTGCTAAAAGACTTCTCCCTAAAAGGACATGACTTTTAAAAGAAGTATTTTAATTTAGATTGTGACCAAAGTATGACATGTGATCAATTACAGCAAAGACTAGATGAGGAATTCCAGAAGAAACTGGAGAGGAATAAGATGATTGCAGAAGAACAAACAGCAAAACGCAGAAGGAAGCGGTAAGGGCAGGTTGTTCCCAGGAGGCTTGACATGGAAACCCTCATGCCCCATGCCTCATCTGCAGCTGCATGCTTTGGATAAATGCCATCCTTCTGTGTCTCCATCTATCAGCTGAGAAGTCTGGATGTGGAAATTAATTTTGTTAATGTTGTTGTTTGGTTTCTAGAGGTAGCTGTAAACTTGATAGGCTTTGCTGGCATGGTTTATTTTATGTGCCATTGCTAAGAGGATGGCTTTTGCTTACACTGTGGTATTGACCGCAACATGCCTTACTGCATATTTGTTATAACAATGTCAGGAAAGGTTTGTATATACATCTGTCTTAAATATCTGAAACAGCTGACAAGAAGCAGCTTAAATGCAAAGATGGGTGCTGCTTAATGGCTACACGTATGGATTCTGACTAGCAGAGTCTGGTGGGGCTGATGCTGTCCTCCATACACAGTGATAAGTGCAGTTCAGTCTGTGAGTACTGAAAAGGCCACCGAAGTGTGCAGTATTGTTAAAATCAGTAACCACTTCTACCTACCTCATTGAAGTGTCTCTCAGGTCAAGTCTAGTTAAGTTAGATCGAAAAAAGAAGAAAATATTAAATCCATCCTTCTTGTAAGTTTTAGCCAAAGTGAAACAGTTACAAGATGGATGCTGTCACGAAATAGTCTGAGCGCTGTAATGCAGTGATACCAGAATTGAAATTCCACAGTCTGTGTCCACCATACCTTTCAGAAGTAGCAGGGTATCATGGCTCAGCTCTTTCAGAGGGTCTGACCCTGAGCAGCCTCTCTTGCTTCTTAGAGAATGAGGGGTTTACATCCTGTAGCTGAGAGTTGCTGCTAAAAGGCCTGTGTAAAGTGACTCATTGGTATATTAACACAAAAGTGCACAACACAAACGCTGTTGCCATCTGACTTTAAATTAGTGTGGTCCAACAGATGGCCAGAAAGTCAGATCTGGCCTGCTGCCTTTTCCCTGGCTGAGATGGAGAACAACTGTTCAAACAGCAAATGCTGCCTAAACACTAACACCTCCTTGTCCCCCTCTTACAGCCTAATGGTGTAAGTACCAAGCAGCTTTGCTCCTCTAACTTCCCTCACCGCCCTTTCTCTTCTGTCCTGACCTAACAGGTACGGCACCTGGCCCACTGTTTCAAGAGAATTTTTCTGTGGTTTTGAGAGAGGAACAGGAATCCCAGGTTGCTTTGCCTTGTGTTTGCCGTTACATTGCCTGGTTACCTTTGCTTGGCAAACAGAACTGGGTTGTACGAACTGAAATTCCCTCTTACTCTTAACGTTAAGCCTAGGGCCCAACATATTGATAAAGTACAGCCAAAGATGAAGGTCAAAGCATACCGCATTATATTTTTTTCAATTAAAGTATATATTACTGGTGATGGCTTTCTTTTTTTCCCCCCAGTGTTCAGTTCAAGCAGTCTGATTTTTGACACCATTTTCTTTTTTTGTTTCTTAGGCTAGGTAGCTAAAATGTGGGCCCAGTATCATTTTTGTTCCTTCTATGCTCTTGGGGATTTTTGCATATCATAGAGTTTTGGTTGCAGTGGTGCCATGGAAGACTTTTAAAAACAAAAATACCATTAGACTAAAAACAATGTAGAAAAGTTTCTGTTGATCCTGTGTCTAAGTTCACTCTCACTGAATTTTCATTGAGGCCAAATTTAAATTGAACTTCTCTTCTGAAGTCTGCGTTTCCAAGATGTCTATAATATGTCCTTTATTAGTGTCTGAATGTGCAGAAGCTTTACAGTGTTGGATTTGCAAAAGAATCTTTTTTCTTTTCTCTGTAGCCAGAAGTTAAAAGAGAAGAAACTGCAAGCTAAGAAAAATAAACTTGAACAAAAGAAGCAGGAAAAAGGTTAGTGAAATTTAATTTTCTTTTCTCAAGACCTAGTTCTGTTTCCTAATTAGAGCCTACAGGGGTTTGTTCCACCCCCCGCCCCAAGCATTCCCAATATATGGATGGGAAGACTGAGCCTTAAGCTTGTTATTTTAGCTAATGTTTCAGAAGTCCTCTTTGAAAGACACCTACGCTGAGATTTAATCTTACAAGTAACTTGGCTGTTTATGAATATTTTCCCTTTATTAGGGGGAATTTTGGACAGCAAACATTGGAATCTGAGTTTGTTGATTGTGGATGTTTTGCTTCAGCTATTCTGACAAACTGAAGATTTGGAACATCTTCTGCTAAAAAAGGCAGTATTGTTAAAGGCTGTTCTTTTTTTAAGTATATTTTGAATGTGTATAGGAAAACAGGTGAAAAAAATGCACAGCTTGGACAGCAAGAAACTGAGTTACGATTTTGTGTGTAAGAAATTGAGCCACACCTTGGTGCCATCTGTTCCACGTGACTATTTTATTTTTCATAGAAATAAATGTGAAAAATCTGACTGCCTCTGTTCTGCAGTCTTGAAAATTAATGTTCAGCAATGTCAATGTAACTGCTCAAACTGTTGAATGCTTGTTGCTTCCTTTCAGTGAGTATGTTTTAGCTTACTCTTTCAAATAGTTGTCCTTCGTGGATTAGCACACTAATTCTGCAGTAATTCTTAGTCTTAAAGTTAAAACAGTTTCTGATAACTCTGCTAGAACAGTGGCTTGTCTGACACTTCTACCTTATTTCGGCTTTGCTTCTCAGAATTGGATCTGTTTCAGCTGAACCATTGCCAGCCTCCCTTATAAACACGGGAAGACAGATTAATTGTTAGGTTAATTTTACTTGTAACAGCAAATGAATGGAGCAGAGTGGATTTTTTTGGTCATTTGGTTTGGTGTTTGGTTTTTTTTTTAAACTACTAATTCATGAAATGTGACCGTAAGGAGAATGTAAGTATGAGTTGACGTACTTTTGTTCACTTTGAGTGAATAAAAGAGAATACCTATCCCTTTAGGGAGCAGCTGGGAGAGAGGGGAGCTGGATCAAGGACAGGCACTGTGGTATGGGACTGCCATGTGCCAGTTGTTGGGCTGGAGTGGGTTTGTTTGGGACAAGTCAGTCATCTTCTGGAAGCCAGAATTCAAACTCCCCTGCCTTTAGAACAGTTCTTAGCTCTTCACAGTTTGTGGTTCTCTATTTGAAGGAATAATAACAATTAAAAAAAAAAAAAAATCAGTGGCAATAGAAGCCCCTGATAGCCATCTTTACAATCAAACACTAAGAATAGGCTTTTATTTTTCTAGTTTTGTGTGCCCTGGGTTGAGATATCAGAGTTTTTCCAAATTAATTGAAGTGTATTTGTTGGATGTGGCAGGCAAGCATTTATCTTCCTTTTTGAATGAATAAATAAAACCTCTGAGTTGCCATTTTTCACCTTTGGTGTAGTAAAAACATTAAGAACAAAAGTTGGTGCTAAATAAGGTCAGCTGTTACAGTTGCAGTTTTGTACAGACCCTTAACAAAAAAAGAAAGTACAGAATTTCACCACGCGGTGGCATCAGACCAGTAATCCTAAATTCTGTGTGTAACTGGTCAGAGCACGAGCTGAGTGTGACTTGGCCTGAGAAACGGTGAAGGTACAAGGGCTGCTGGGAGCAGAAGAATGGCTGTTAGATTCAGGTCCCACCTTATGCCATGCCTAATTTTCATTATCTGTTATTTAACTTCTAGTAGGTGTTTTCTGGTCTTCAGCAGGCTTCATGAGTTTTCTGTGACCCTCGTTAATATTACACATATCTTAATGAGTTCCTGTACTTGCAGTATAGTATACCAAACAGTCTGTGAAAGGTCATGGCACCTTGTGGTATTTCTGTAAGCTTGGATAGGCGTAGAAATATACTGTGGCTTCCCAGTGCCTGCATTCTTTAACAGTACTCTGGGATACTTGGAAGTTCATGCCGACAGCAGAGGTGGGATTGGGAATGAGATAATTTAGCGCTTCAGCATTCGACTACTTCTGTTTGAAATAATGTTCCATAGGAGGTGAAGTTGTTTAATGATGGAGTTGGCACAGTGGCAACATTGAAGGTAAGGGGGTATTTCTCCAAGGGAGAATTTGATATTCAGAGCTCTACATTGCTTGGTAGAATTAATATAACCTGATACATGTTTCCTTAGTATCTGGGACTACTCTGTTGTGAGGTATTTAACAAGGAAGACTCAGGGGAATATGTTACCCATCTGTACTAATTAGAGTGACCTAATACACGTTTGCTTAGAACCTGAGACTATTTTGTTGTGAAATACTTAACAAGGGAGACACATGGGAATATGTTCTCAGTTCATACTGTTTGTGTTTTTAGAACCTGATCAATCTCAAGAGCAAGTCAGCAGCGAGGATGATGAAGAAGATGATAGCAAGGAGGAGGAAGAGAAGGAAGATGATGCTGAAGAGCCAAGTTTTGTGATGGGAAGAGGATGAGGCCTTTCAGGGACAGCTGGAAACACTGTTCATTGCTTTATATTCAGGAGCATGAAAGTCTTTCATCACAGCCAAGCAGAACCCATTGGCGTATGTTATATCTGCTTAACGGTGAATGACCTTCACGTCACAGGCTCAAGAGATATTGATAGAGAAATGCCAAATAAGAGATTTTTTTCTTAATTGCTTGTATAACTGCTGTGCAGTCTGCTCTAAGTTTGCTCTAACGAGTCAGCCATTAAGTCTCTGTGACCCTAGACTTCTTTCTAACATGGCCCAGAGTGTTTTTCTGTCCGAAAGCTAAAACATATCCATTACCATTTAAGGAAAATATTACTGTGAGGGCTACGTATTCTACTTATGTCGAAGCTGGTAGCAGTGGGATACATGAATCTAAGGGAAGAGTTTAACCTAAAGTATAAAAGTGGTCTGTAGCCAGACTCTCCTGCACTGTGAGTGTTCTGAATTTGGGGTTTTGTATGGGGTCATCTTTAACCCAAAGAAATCAGTTTATGTTGCTAGACAAGTTCTATAGATTTTTAAGCAGGATCCCTTTTATATTGCTAAAACTTTCCCTATTACTTTTCTTCCGTGTTTTTTAAATGAATAAAGGGGATGTGTTGGTTTGTTCTGTCTTCTTTTTTTTTTTTTTGAAAAGGATTTCAGTAAAATAGAGATGCTTGCAATGCTGCAGGGAGGGACAAAAAGACTAAGTTATGTGGCACACGTGAAAATACAGGAGAAGGTGTTAGCTGCATGTCATTTACTTTTTGCTTCTGGATTGGAACAGTATCTTTTTGAAAAGATTATATCTGTAAAGCCTCCAAATCCTGTGGCAGAAAGGCTTGGAATGGAATGGTTTTGCTTGTGTTCAGCTTCATGTAATGACACTTGCCTTTCTCTCTGCTTCAGCTCTCTGCTTTGACCTTTGGGTTCCCTAGTAGGAATCATAACCTCTGTATATATATATTTACTGTTGGCGCTTAAATGAAAAGCAGTGGTTTTATTTGCAACTTAGGTTATTGTCTTTTCACTGTATCTTTAATTAGAAGTGCCTGCTATCTTTCAGACATGCTCATCCCAGGACCTTGGCATCCAGAACGTGGTGCTACTTCTTTTCAAGCCTTTGTTAATGCCAAATTATTTAAAGCTAAAATAATAAAAAGGGAGAATCTCTTTTTAGATTGAGCCTTTGTTGAACAGCGCTGCCAGAAATCCTGCATTTTGTCTGAGCTGGCTTTATGTAATGGCTTCTCAGTGGTGTTACTGTGGCGGCGGGGAAGTGGATGTGATCAAGTGCAAGTGATGTTTGTGTTTCATTCCCCTGTACATACCCAAAGACTTCAGAGCTGGGTAGTTTCTGAGCTGCAAGGTCCATATCCCCACCGCCCGTCCAGGTTGGAGACCTGCATGGAATTGTTTTCTGCTTAATCTCCATAGAGGCAGGTGCTTCAGAGTAAGTTGTGACAGTGTTTCATTCTCCAGCACTTAAGCTGCAGAATGGATGTTCCGCAGTCATTGGCATTTTCCCTGTGGAGAGGGATGAGTTATGAGGATTGCTTCACTTGAATCCCCCTTAGGGCAGGTAAACACTGTTGATATGTCTGTGTGATAGGATAAGCCATAAAAACGTGATGTTTCTTAGTTTTCATGGACAAAGAACCAAGAGTCTCACAAATAAACAAAGACTGTTCTGCTTCTGAGCTTGTCAGGCTTTGGAGCTGAATAAATAAGGGCTGTTTTGCATTAAGTAGAGCAGATGTTGCTGCATGAGGACACGCTTCTCTCCGTCGCCAGGAAGACGGACTTGAGTTTGTCTTGATTAACTAAACGAATTCAGGTTGTGAGGCCTCATCCTGCCTCCTTAAGACGCCATCGTTACCCATGCTGAATTATTCATACGCTTCATTTGCTAGGAATGCTAAGTTTGTAGGTGAAATCCATAAAAAGCAAAGAGGATGTGTTGCTGAAGGTGGTGTCTGCCTTATGGTCTTTTGTGCTGGGGTGGCTCAACGTAACAGTAGGAGCTGTATTTGGTAGGTGTTGCTATGAATTCTGAAAAATACTATGCCATGTTGTGGTTGTTTGTGTCAGTACTATATCTTCCAGAATACAAAGGCGCTTCAGAGTGAGTGTTTTGAAGGGACGTTTCCTCGTTAAGACAAAATGCCAGTACTCTGTGACCTCAAAACGGGGAAAACGTTGTCCATGAGTAGAAAAAAGGGAAGTGCTCCCATGTGTAGTAAAATGAGTAACAATTGTTCTCTATTCCAAATATGGCACCGAAAAAGCAGTAATAATGTAAAGGCTTTAAACTGCCAAGGAGTTTGACCTGCTTACATTAAATTCTTGCTCTGGATTCTCTTCTAGAGGAGTCCCTCTCCTTTCTCTAATGGAGACTAATCTCCAGGGGCTAAAGTTTGTTGCTGTTCCATTTCTACATGCGTTCGTGGGAGTGTGGGGCCCTGAGAGGCAGCAGTGTTAGTGCTGTCACCAAGCAGAGGTATTCTTAATTTCAGAGGTGACAAGCACACGCAGGATAACAAATGTATTTGTCTTTTTAATAAGTTTGTAGGAAGTGTTTTGTCTTTTCCTTCCCCCAGGCAGGAGGGAATTCGGGAAGATGGGACCACTGTGTGATAAGGCTGAACCAGTGTCCCGCCTTTCAGCATTTTCTTTATCTCATTTTCAGGGAAGGAACTCCCTCCTCTTTCCCACCAGTCTGCCCCTGCCCTTGCTCTTTTGGTGGGTTTATACAGGATTTCCTGGCGAGTCCCTAGAGGCGGCGTGTGGGGCGATAGCAGCTGGGCTTCCGCGGCCCTCCTTCCCACTGGGAGCCTTGGCTGTGCTTCAGCCAGTGTTGCAGCTCGGCGGAGGCAGAAGTCAGCACTGCCTTTTGACTTATGTAAGTGGCGACTTTTTGCTGTATAATTAATAATTGTAATAAAAGCACATTTACACCCCATTGCACCAATCCCTTCTCTGTGGAAAGGCGTAGACACGCGAGGTCCAGACCGAGGGACGTTTTTATCAGCGGGAAGGGGTTTCACCCCGACCGCGAGTTTAGGGGGCCACAGACCTGATCAGCTCGCCTACGGATGCGTGCTGTCGGGGGGAGCACCGGGGGCTGTGGGCCCCGGGATCCCAGCCCGCCGCTGGAACGGCGCCGTGGCCCGTGAGGCGCTGGGGACGGCGGTGACCTCCCTCTGTGACTGTTAAGTACAGCCCCCCCGTTTAGGAAAACCCCCAGAATACACACACACACACACACACACCCCCCCCGTCTCAGGGGGGCGAGCGCGCTCAGTGCTCGGCGCTGCGCGGCGGGACGCTCCTCCCGCCTGGCCACGCCCCCCCCCGCGGAGGGGCGGTGGCTGGCGTTGCCACGGCCCAATGAGACCGCGGTCACGTGAGGAGGGCGGGGCGGCTGCCCGCCCCCCCATTTCCTGCGGGTCACGTGGCGGGGGCCTGGCGTTGCCTTGGCAGCGGCGGCGGCGGCGGCGGCGGCGGGAGCTCCCGGGGAGCCCGGCCCGGCCCCCGGCCAGCCAGCGCGGTGAGCACGGGGAGGGGGGCACATCCTGCCGGCGTGGGGGGGGGGGGGGGGGGGGGCCGGGGCCCACCTGGGGGGTCTGTGTGTGAGGGGGCCGCATCCTGCCCGGGTGGCGAGTCGCACGCTCTTGGGGTAGCGGGCTTCACCTCCACCGGGGGGTTTGGGGTGTGTGGGGGGGTCACCCTGCAGAGGTGGGAACATCTGCTGCCCGGGGGGCTCATACTGCCCCGGCGGAGGCATCCCATGCCCGGGGTGCTGGGGAGAGGGAGTTGGTCTTATCCTGCCTGGATGGGGCTTCCCCTGCCAGGGGTGGGGGGGGGTTGTGGGAAGGGTCCGCTGGGGGCAGAGAAGGGGGTCCCGGTGGACGCCACAGCGGTGTTTTGGAGCTCCCTCGGGATGCAGAGGCCAGGCCAGTTCTCGGGGGTCGTATCCTGGCAAAGGGATCCTCTTGCTGGGGGTGCTGTAGGGGAGACACCTCCAGCCTGCGCTGCAGGGAAGCCCCTGACGCGGGACGCTGTTGGAAGGGGGCATACCAGCTGTGGGGGGGTGCGGGTCCCAGCCTGCCTGAGGAGATGGGGGGGGTCCTTGGGATGCTGGACAGAGATCCAGTGTTAGGAGGTCACATCCTGCCTAGAGAAGATCCCCTGGCCAGAGTAGCCTTTGGTGCGAGGGGTCCTAGCTGACTGGGGCCTCATCCTGGCCTGGGGAATCCCCTGTCAGAGGGTGCTGTTGGAGGGGAGATCCTTGCTGTGTGGGGTCACATCCTGCCTCGGGGTGTGCTGAGAGTGGCTGGGAAGGAGGAAGAGAAATCCCCTGCTCAGCTGGTGCCTTGTGAGTAGGATCCCAGAAGTGGTGGTGGGGTGAGGGGGTCACACCCTGCTCAGGGGGTGATCCCCTTGGCTTGAGGAGCGCTGCCCTAAGGGTGGTCACAGCTGTGGGGTGTTCGTGCCTTGCCTGGGTGCTGTGACATCACAGGGGTGCTGGGGGGGGGGGGGGGGGGGTCCCAAGCCAGAAAATATGGGAAGGAGTTTCCCATAGCAAAGAGGGCCTGAGCTTGGGGAGCCTGGAATAGTGAGGTCTAGGATTAGGTTTAGCCACAGTGTGTGGGGTCTTGAACGATACTATACAGGGGAGAAAGGCACTGGTACGAAAACACTGATCAGTCTCGGGGTGTGGGACAGAAATCCTGGATCTGAGGCAGGGGCTGGCGTCCTGAAGCCAGGCAGAGAAGCTGACGGTGCTGCTGAGACAGCGCTCTGCGGGCGAGTGCTCAGAGCTGACGGGCAGCAGGAGGGGGATCCGCATATCTCAGCCCTGGCGGCGTCTGCTTCGTTCCCTGCTGTGAAGAAATCCCCGCACGCAGGCTTGCAACTGCGCGGAGGCAGCTGAGATGTCAGGCATGGCGAAGGCTTTCCCCACTACGTGTGCTGCTCCAAAGGACAGCGCTGGACAGATTAACAAAATCGATGCGAGGTAGAAATTGCAGAGAGCTTTCTGTCTTCAGCGGTGTGGAATGAAGCGGTGGTGCAACGGAAATGAGTAAAGACACAGCAGGGGTGGACGTGGCCAGAGCTGGCTGTTAGGCTGAGGAAGAGATCTCCCGGGGAAGTCCCGATTCTCCATCCAAAACTCAACCAGCCTTGTGCGGTAAAACCCTGTAGGACAGTTATTTCTGTAAATGCAAGTGTCTTAAACCTTTAATGTTGCAAGGCAGGAACATGAAATCTCCAGAATAACTCTCCCCCGATGCAGATAACTGGCTGAAAAGTATTTCCAGATTAAAACTAAAGATACGGTGCCTGTAAAATGCTTCTTTGGTCTTGTTTCAGCCCTCGGAGCCCTCCATCCAGTCCCTCCATGTCCGTAGCCAGGAAGGTGAGTTTGCCATCCTGTTACTGCTTGTTTGGGCTATGTTTGTGTTTGTGGATTTTTATTCTGAAGCTGTTTACTTATTTTGGAACATCTCATGAGCTGCTCCAGAGTGAAAATTCATCCCTGTGGTATTTTTAGTTTATTTTTCTAAGGAAAGAGGCAGATGTGATTGGGTACTCCTGCTCTCCCTCTGTAACCTCTGAATTCATTTGTCTTTTCAATGGAATTTGTCCCAGGGGTTGAAGTTTCCTCCATACAGAGCTCCTACATATTTTGTGAAAGTAAATGGCCGGGTAGAGGGCATCAATATCTCGGCTAAGGACAAAGCAAATAAATTCACCCCACACTATACATTGCAGAATCCACACAGGATGTTGTCACAGGAAGCAGCTTCATATTTTTGCTGCTCACAAAATGCTTCTGCCTCTGATCCTCCCAGGAGGCTTGGGGAGATATTTTTTTTCCCCACTTCTGTAAAATAGATGATTCTTGCCTTTTCTGGAAAAAGAGCAAGCAGAGAGGTTTGTCCCTGTTACTGTTTTTTTCCTGTTGTGTGAAAGTTCTTTTATGCCTTTTTTTTTTAATAATTTGAAAACTCCTGAGCAGCTCAGGAGTTACATTGGAGTTCTTCAGGGGCTGTAATAGTGGCCTTGTCAAAAACTGCCCAGAAGAAGTTGTTTTGTGCTCTTGCTGCCATCCTTATTATGTCTGAGGGGGCTGGAATCTGAAAGCCCACCATGCTCAGGAGGAACAGACAATCTTACAGCCTGCAATGCTTTATTTGCTGCTGCAGTCTGATTTTTGTTACTGTGCCTGGAATAGCTTTGTTCCTTTTCAGTAATATCACTGGGAGTTGAGGGCAGTTGATGTCCTTTTTATCTTTGCCACTTCCTCAAATCTCATAGCAAACAGGGTTTTATTAGCTGTCACCATGTGGCCGGTGTAGGTGGAGAGCTGGGTGGAGCAGGGGGGATGCGGGCAGGGCTGGGGCTGCTCTGGAGTGAACAGCAAGGTGCCTGTGACCTTGAGGTGTGGCGCTGGGACTAATTAGTACCACACCGTGCGAGATTCTGGGCATGCATCTTCTCCTCCTAGGAGCTGGTAAGTATTTATAGCCAGGAGGGTCTCCTGTGGTGCAGCTCTGGTGTTGCTACTTGCTACCACCGTGGTGGTCGTTGGCAGAGTTGTGAGTGTGGAGATTAATCAGAGAATCGTGGTTTCCGTCCTTCAGAAGGCTGAGTTAAACGTCAAGTTTCAGATGTTTGTCAGAGTTGAGAAATTTTTGCTCAAAACGTTTAGTGAACCCTGCTCTGTGTCTGGATGGCACAGAGATCACCAGGCAGCAGCCTGGCTACGTTGTGGTGTAAGGAGGGGATGGTTTGGACCTTGTGCTTGTCTCTGCTGGCAGATGTGGCATTCACTCCCTGAAATAGTCTTGCTGATTTCCTACATCTTTCAGTTTAACCTCTTGAATCTGAAGACACTGAAAGTACCTGGAAGGCAGCTCGCTTTTCCCTTTGGAATTGTCTTTTCCTTTCCTCGTGCTAAGAGCCACCAGTGGAAGTGAGGGAATAGATTATTGGTCGGATGTGGCTGATAAGTGGAATGTGAGCAGTTCAGGAAATTTCATTTTCAACTGCGGAAGGTTGATTTGTTAACCCTACACAGCAGTCAGCTAGCTCTATGACTACTGGGAAAGTCTTGAGGAAGAACTGTGCCCATCTAAACTGAGCTATGATGAGCAATGATTTAATTGAAAAAAAACTGGTTTTCAGAGAAAAAGCAAGAAGTGATTCCCTGAACATGCTAGCTAGCGTTACTTTGGTACTCTAAGGAGATGCATTTGGAGCCAATCCGTGACGCACTGTGAAATTAACTGTCAGCTTAAAATGAAATTATAAAATGGGGGCCCTAGTTCTAAAGTGTCTTTATGTAAAACAAATTTTTTATTAGCAAGGAGGAATTAAAGGGGAAAGCTGAGATGTCAGCTTTGAAATTAAAAGGCAGATGCTGTGTAGCCTTCCTGAATTCCTGCTGGAGTAATTCCTGGGTTTACTTGTATAATCTTTCCTAGTTCTCATGGTCACTTTTAGCAATTGTGGATAGTCCTTTCTCTGTTCTGTGCCTTGCAAGTGTGATGACAATTGGGCCATCATTTTTCTACTGACTGAGGGCAACTTTGTTTAAATGTAGCTTTTCCAGTAGTTGGTGCTTGTCCTGTCTGCTACCTCCTTTTGAACATGACTATTTTGTTCCCTCAGCATTTCTCTCATCATGAGTTCTGAATTAAACGTTCCGGTGGATCCTTCCACTCCTGCTTGCTGCTCTGAACCTGGCACAAAAGGCATGGATTATCGGGACTGGGTCCGGCGGAGCTATCTGGAATTGGTCACATCAAACCACCACTCCGTTCAAGCCCTTTCATGGAGAAAATTGTACCTGAGCCGAGCCAAACTGAAAGCTTCCAGCCGAACCTCTGCTCTGCTCTCTGGATTTGCAATGGTATATGTACTTTGTAGCAACGTTTTCTGGATCATGCATGTTTTGGTTCTCTAAAATCAATCTATTAATCAAAGTTTTCCTCATGTGAAGGAGCAGGACATACTGTTGTTTTCTGAAGAGGCCAGGAGGCATCTGCCTTGGGAGCTTCTGCTTGGCTGCTGCTGAAAAGCTTGGGGCTGTCTCTCTGAAGGCAGCAGGAATACACGAGCTGCCTAACAGTCAAACCACACAGTCCCAAGCCAGCTCTTTAAAAATACTAATTCCCTACGTGCACATGATGCTAAGTGCTCCACCAGTATTGCTAAACAATGCAGGACCTGGGCTCTCCGTTGGCCCCGAGGCCATTCCTTGCTGGCTGCCTTTGCATGAGGTTGCACTTGGGCGTGGAGCTCCTCTGGGCCCCTGCGGTTGCTGTACATTCTTAATTTCTGGATGTGTTTTTTCAGGTCATGGTGTCTAAAATAATGTGGAGGTTGGGTCACAGTCTGCCAGAGCGAAGTTTGCATGGCATGATTGAGGAGAGTGTGTCACACACGGGGTTGTGAGAAGAGGCCCCTGCAGCCTCAGACCTGGTGTCAGAGGCCTCTGTAGCCCGAAGGGAGACAAACCCGGTATATATTTCTCAGTGCTGCCTACAGGGAATAATTCATGATACTTGCTTTCCCCTGTGCAGCACTTGGGTGTTATCTGGAAGCTATTTTCATAGGTCAAAACATGTCAGGGAGCGAGCAAATTATCAAGATGGAGACATTCAGTGCAGACCTGTCTGAGCTGTGGTGGTAGGAAGACACGGCCATGCTGTGTTGGTGTGAGCCTCTTCATCTCCGCTCTGGTTCTTGCCAATTGGGAGTGAGAACTGAAACCTGTTTGGGGGAGGTTTTCTGTGGAGGAAATGGGCAGGTCTGGTTGTTTCTGAGGTCTGTCAGCTGAATGCAGAGAGGCAGAGGGCAGAGCCTGGGTGTGTGGGATGTGATGTGGAGATGTTGTGTCCTGCAACTCAGAAGCTGGGGGGGACACAGTTCTCAGGAACTTTCCAGATAGCTTTCCTTGGTTTATTTCAGCTGCTTCTGCTGCTTTTTCCTCCCCCAATCCCCTAGAACGTGAGTCATCTGTAACATTAAACAGTTTGGGATGACAAAGTTGGTCACCCAAAGTGGAGTTGGGAAAACACAAGCAGGGAGTTAAGTGGGAGCAGGTTGCAGGGGAGAGAGGGTGCTTGGTCGCTTTGCAATCCCTCCCTGCTCACTGACTGCGTGCAAGCAAAGCTTTCAAAAACTCTTCACGCAGCCCATGTTGGTTTGTAACCAACCTTGGGTGCTGAAATGGCAGAAGGTACCTTCCTCGTCTTGAGAAAGTTGAGTGCTCTCCTGTAGATCTCTTTCACTCAGAAGCTTTCTTACTCTAAAAAGCTGCTCGTGTGCTTGCCCTTTGTGCCTCTGGGTTACTTGAGTTCTGTGTTAGTCGTTTGGGACTGCTGTCTTTAACGTGATGATTAAATTAACGCTTTGTATTGTGAACTGGTCTATCTAGGCAGCAGGGTTACACAAGCCGGTGCCTGGGCTGGGGTGTGCTGTCGCTGGCGTCACTGGGGCTCGGGGCGGGGGGGGGCTTGCAGCCCACCCACACTGCGGGGCTAACCACGTATCTGAAAACAAAGCATGCCTTCTCCACTCTCGCAACAGAAAGTTGCTGAAAGTCCTTGTCAAACACACAAAATTAACCATTTGACTTCTCTTTAAACTGTTTAAAATGGAGGTCAGATGAACACATAAGAAATGTTAAATATAATCACAAGCTTAACATAGTAAGTACACCTAAAATCAGCAATTGTCAGAAATAACAATTTTTGCAAGAATGAATTCTCTTTGTTAGCAAGCTTTTTCCCAGCTGATCATAATGGACTTTCCAGTGAAAGCTGAGGTATCTATTCCTACCAGGTTATTTCTCTGCTATTAATTTGGCACTCAGCTATTTGTTACGTGGATGTTTACTCTCTAATAAGAGCATTTATTTGGTTATTGATGAAAGTAGAGAATTTATTTAGAGTTAAATAGTTTCCCTAAAGCCCTGTGTTCATTTAACTGTGTAAACAAATGTCATACAGGGCTTGGCTATTGCTTTATTTACTGCCTTGTCAGTGTATTTGATTCAAGTCAGTTCCATATTGGCTGAAAATTATTACGAGCTGATGGATATTTAATCAACAGGAGGTGGATTAGATCCAGCTCCTTCTGGACAGGCGGCAGAATAATGCAAACCTTCCTCATTACTCGATGCTATCTCTGGTATTTCTGGCAGAGTTGGGCAGATCAGGAGGATGTGGGTCCTTTTCAGTGCCAGGTTGGTTTGGAGGTGGGCTGTAGGGCTACTGCATCTGCCCCAGCAAGACTGCAGATAGAGGAGATTTAGAGGGAGCTTAGGAAACCTCCTTAATAATTTTCCTAATGGAAATAAAAGCTATTACTGCTAATGAGTCTTCTCAATATTTGTTCAATTGTTACAGGATATGTATTTGATTAAAAACAAAAACAAACAAACAAACAAAAAAAACAAACAAAAAAAAAACAAAAAACAACAAAAAAAAAAAAAACAAAAAAACCTGAAACAACAAAAACCCCCAAACAAAACAACAAAAAAATCCCCTAACAGATCTACTGGAGTGACTGTTTTTACAGGCTGCCAAACCATCTGTGTGAATGTAACATGATTTATATTAAGCCATTTGTCATCCTTTTGCCTGATACTACCTATCCTGGTCTAAATTTCTCAAGATGAGCATCATATTTGTTGTGGACAATCTGGGCTGTACTGGTCTAATAAAAAACCATAAGTGCATGTAATTTAGTTGCAGTTTAATTCTAAAATGTTCTGAGTACTTGGTCCTTTAGCAAACCTGTGAGGGTGATTCCCAGACTTAAAATTAAGCCTATGCTGTGGCTCGGCAGAGCACTTAGTGCCTTGCAAAGTCAAGCCCTTGACACCCTGGCTTCTGGGAAGAGGTTAAAATAAAAGGGGCTGTTATCACAGAAGAGTATAATTGTATCAAACATGACATATTAATAGTTTTACAGACTAAGCGGCATATTTAATGATTTTTAAATGGGTTATGTCAGCTTGTCCTCTTTCTCTTATCCCAGTCAGAGAATGACATGACAGTCTGTACGGGGTAAAGCGCTAAGACTCACTCACCTTTCCAGTACTTGTTCAGGTTAAATGAACTGTTTTTCTGCCTTGCTGCCCTATGTGGATTGTTGATGTTTTGCTCTGAAATACCTCTTACTGAGCCATCAGTCAGTGTTAAAATTCATCACATTGCACAGCTGAAGCTAGCCCTAGGGAATAGGTTAGTCTGGGAGGAAACATCCAATTAGCTCAAAAGTGCTGCTCATGCGAAGGATAACAAGTAGAAATTGATATGTTGACATCAGCCAGGCTTTCAGTTTTAATATAAAGCTATAAATTGAACACGCAGCTACAATTCCTATTCAGCTTGCTCAATACTATGTCTCTGGGTATTACAGCACCCAATAATGAGCAATATACCTGCAGCTTTTCCTGGCTGATGGGGTGTGACTGACAATCACAGCACTGTACAAATTCATTGTACAGAACAGTGCAGCAGAGAGTAAGTCTGATCTCCTCCTTCATGAATCAGTATAAGGAGAACTGGAAAGAGAACATATGCAGGGCAATGTGTAATGTGTTTTAATTAAATTGACCTTGCAATAGATGGTGAAGCCAATCCTGTGTTTATACAACAAGAAGTACTGTAAACAGGAAACTTTAAAAAACAACCAAAAAATGAGGTAAAACCCCCACGTGTTTATAATCAAAATGAAAGGCTGGGAGCGTCTAAGAACTGTGACAGTATTTTTGGTGTCTCTAACATCCTAAATAGTTGATGCAGGTATGAAGTCTGGGTTTGCAGAGATTGACCATTTGCCACCACAAACACACGTGTTCTATCTTGGTTGATACTAAATGTGTTCAGACTTGACTGCGATCCCCTTGCTCAGGCTGATGATGGTTTAAAAGTAAATGCAGGTAAGGCAGCAGTCATGCCAACATAGGCACTTGCTTCCATCCCCTTTAATCCTTTTCAGGGCTACCAACAGGGAGAGCATGATCATACCCCTAATCTTCCAGTGCCTAAATAATATTATTAACAGTAATGCTAGAGCAAATGGTGCAGATTATTATACAGATCCTGAAATGGCTGCCCAGCTGCAGTCTCGTATGAAGGCTGGATAAAATAATCATGAGTCTGTTCTGCTAAAATCCATCTACCTCCTGGAATTGAGCTACTTGTTTGGACTTTGCCTTCCCATGATGGTCTTGAGAGGCGCTGCCCTGAGGCAGGCATCCAAGCATCGGCTTCTCCTTCCTTAACGCATCTGGCAAGCTGTGCCGCGCCAGAGCGGGAGGTCGCCTGGGATCACCAGAGGTTTTATCTGCTGCTAGGCATGTTAGCATCTGTGCAAATGATGAAGTGCAGCTGCAGATCCAGGCAAGCCGCTAGAGAGTTACTAGAGAGGAATGTTTGATAGTCTTGTCCAGTTGTGGCTTCTCCTAGGAAAAGGTTTCTGCAGTCCTTTCAGGGATGCCACCACACAGAAGTACTATTTTACTTCACATGTAGGTTAAGTAATTTTACAAATTCTTATGCTAAAGCAGTTAACAGGCCTGTACTCGGACTCCAGTTCTGATCTCAGAAGAGCCCTCTGCTCTCTTCTGCGTATTCTGCTTGTTAAGCTTTATTTGATTAAAGGAAAAATAGACCGCTTTAGAGACTTGCTATATGATAGCTCTTGTTTTGAGAAAGCAGACTCCTATCTGTGTTGTTGAGCTCACCCGTAAGCCAGTAGCTGTTCACTTCTGCTGAGTACATCAGTAAGTTATTAGCTCTCAAGGGAGAAATTTGAGGATATAAATAACTTGTATCTGGGCATATTTGTAACAAAAATGAACGTACAATGTTCTGAGGCAGCTATTTTAACTATGGACTAACTAAAACTGTAAAGTAGCTTGCGTGCTTCCCATGGGGAGGGGGGGGTAGTAAACCTTGCTGGCCACTGGCCAGGAGAGCTGCTTGACTTTGCGTTTCTTTCTGTGCCTGAAGTCAAAACTTCCTGCAGTGCAGCCGCCAGTAGTGAGCGGAAGGCGAAGGTGTGATGGGCGGGTGGGCTAGCAGGCTGTCAGCTGCCTCGGAGCTCCACTTGTCTAATGAGTTCCTTCTGCTGTGTGTCTTGGTTTGATGCAGTTTGTATGGCTCATGGTTGCAAGGAAAGGTACGTTATTTGAGAAAACTGCAGCACAGAAACGTGCGCGTGAGCCTTCGGAAAGGCCAGGCTGCAGACTGCCTGTTAGGTCTTCATGAGAAACTGCAATGATCCATCTAGGCTGCCATTCTAAAAAGCACCTGAGTGTGTACTTGACCTTAGGTGCTCTTCCTGAATAAAGATGCTTTCCTAGACGAAAGCCTTGAAAAGGGGTAAACTAGCAGCTGTTGACAAGCTTTTTCTTCCTTTCCCCCCAGGTTGCCATGGTGGAGGTGCAGCTGGAGGTGCAGTACAAGTACCCCCAGATGCTGCTGATAGCTTTCAGTGCCTGCACAACAGTGCTCGTGGCAGTTCATCTTTTCGCCCTTCTCATCAGCACCTGCATTCTGCCTAACGTGGAAGCAGTGAGCAACATCCACAACCTGAACTCCATCAGTGAGTCCCCGCATGAGCGCATGCATCCCTACATCGAGCTGGCGTGGGGCTTCTCCACTGTCCTGGGGATCCTCCTTTTCCTTGCGGAAGTCGTGCTTCTGTGCTGGATAAAATTTCTGCCTGTGGGCTCTATCCTGAAGAACGAGACCACCAACGCCGAGAAGCCCAGCGGCCATGCGGGTTGGCAGTCAGCACTGGTCTCCACCATCATCATGGTTCCAGTGGGGCTGATTTTTGTCGTCTTCACCATTCACTTCTACCGCTCTTTGGTGCGGCACAAAACGGAGCGCCACAACCGAGAGATCGAAGAGCTTCACAAACTGAAAGTGCAGTTAGACGGGCATGACAGAGGCATGCAGGTAGTGTGACAGAGGCGCAGAGGCTGCTTCCAGCAAATCCACTCAGCTAAGGCTAAGAGGAAAATACCTGTTTTGCTAGTTGGTGAGACACACCAGTGATGGATTGTCTTGAGGCTTAACTATGTTAAATGCTAATTGCCTGCCGTATATAGCTGTGGGTTGTAGTGCTGTTGCAGATGCTGGGGTCTCTGGCCTGTTCCTGGTCCTACACACTTGTGTACTTAAGTCGACACTGCCATGGAGTTCAAGTCAAAACTTTATCTACCTTACCATTGCTTCAGGTAGCCAAAAATCTTTATTTTTCACAAATGCAATATTCTGTTGCCAAAATCAAAACTGCATCAGCAGTCCAAAAAGCCAGTTTGTGTGTAGGACCTGTCTTATGCGTCAGAACTCCCTGGCTGTCAGTGCAGCAGCAATTAACTGGCAGCTTGTTTCTAGAGCTGAGCAGGTTAATGTGGGTATCTGCAGCTGACATGAGGACATCCAGGAAAGCACAATAGAAACTGTGAGTGTTGATCACCTTTGTTCCAAAGCAAGTATTCCATAAATACATCCAGAAAGGAAATCAGCCTTAGCTTTTATGTTCTTTTCTTGCTATTCTTTACTATATTTTTACAGCTGGGGAAGTAGAATTTTGAATTTCAGGCAGCTGAGGGAGTTGTGTCAGACTTTCTTCAGCAGCACAGAATCAGAGAATGGTTTGGGTTGGAAGGGACCTTACAGATCATCCAGTCCAACCCCCCTGCCCCAGGCAGGGCCCCCTTCCCCCAGCCCAGGGGGCTCCCAGCCCCGTCCAACCTGGCCTTGAACCCTTCCAGGGAGGGGGCAGCCACAGCTGCTCTGGGCACCCTGGGCCAGCGCCTCACCCCCCGCACGGGGAAGAATTTCTGCCTTAGATCTAACCTAAATCTCCCCTCTGTCAGTTTAAAACCGTTACCCCTTGTCCTATCCCCTCACCCACTGATAAAGAGTCCCTCCTCACCTTTCCTGTACCCCGTTTAAGTACTGGAAGGCCACTATAAGGTCTCCATGGAGATAGAATCATAGATTAGTTTGGGTTGGAAGGGAAAGCATCTGTCACTTTAGATTGAGTGAATGCCAAGATCATGTGTTTTTTCCCAGTAAGAGGCAAGAGTGCCCAGGGAAGGCTTACAGGTGTTTTAGTTTTAACAAGGACATTCTTAAAACAGAACAGTGACAGGGAATTTAATGAGACAAAACTTTGAAGGACTAGAAAAGCAAGTTTCAAGGAGATAAGGAATGATAGCATATAGCATATTGTAGAAATCTGTCGCTATGTCGTCTTCATTTATGTATTGTTGTGATGTCTCTTGCCTGGTTTGACAGAGAGAACAAGCCCCAGCCCTGCGTATTTCATCAGCTGGTTAGGGTTTTCTGTCAGCTGTAGCATTTGTGTGTCAAAAAAAGAATGCTTCCTTCTCCCTCCACCAAAGCAGGCAACTCCTCTGGTGGAACAGTGGAGCTGTATTGGCAAGTCTGACGGAGCTGGATTGGGCGGGGGAGCTGTGTGCCATTAAAGAGCTATCACATTTCATTTGACCTGACTTTTTTTTCAGCAGTAGAGAAAATGACACTTGCACGTCTGTATTGCTTATCGAGGGAAGCTTGAAAATTCTATAGCATCCGTGTGGGTGAAAACTTCTGTAAAAATGATTTTATGATTTATGGTAACTTTGTGGAGGGAAAAGAGTGTTTCACAATCATCAGCATTTTTAAAGGAAAGTGAGGCTTTCTGCCACACAGGGCTGAAAGGAGCATAAGCACACTTTCTTGGCCCTGATCCTGTGCTGGTTTCCTACTCTGCACTCAAACGTTGCAGTTTCAGAGTCTCCCAGGCGTTACAGGTTTCTGAAAACATTATGGATGTTTGTAATGTTGTAATTAACCCTGGTCCCTTATTCCAGTGGGATTTGAGAAATCTAATGGCAGAGTATTCTATGTCAGCTTCCCAGAATGGAGAGTACACGCAAATCCCAGTGCAGCAGGGTGAGACTATCTCTGTATTCCTCTCTGGCGAGGGCCTTGGGAACCCAACTCTAATCTCTCTTGTTTACATGTGAGTTTGAGCGTTGCTGAACAAGTTGCTTAGCACTGTGTCTGTGGCTTTCATCTGTTGTTCTTACCACGGTTGGCATGTACCATATTGGCTGATGTGCAGCAAAGAAAATCGTCTTTGTATGCTAAATGACTGGTCTATACTTATGTGCAATGCAAAAAATAAGGAGTGTCTTCTAGGAGGTGGGTGGTCATGAAATTCATACGATCTCCCTAGGAGTCTGCCCTCTCTCCCTCCTCTTTTTACCATAATAAAAGTTTATACAACAAAATCAATAGGTGAGTTTTCTGCCAAGTATTACATGTGTAAGCTCTTCTACCAACAAAATTTCTATTGTGAGGCCAGAGCCAGACCAGATAGGACGAATCTCTCATCTGTACTTTGCACTCTTCTTTAACATCAGTAATAATAAGACTGTGTGTGCTGTGGAGCTCAGGAGGTTGTTGAGGAAAGTATTAAGCTGTTTTTGCAGTTAAAAAAAAGAAAGTTTCACAGTGCACATACAGTGCTGTGAAAGCAATGCAGCTCATTTGGAAACAGCCAAATCGTTCATTTAATTATTTGCAAATATAACCCTTCAGCAAATGGAGAAATGCAGCAGAAACTGTGCTTTGATTTTGTAGAATAACTTGGTGAGGCTTTGGTGGGATTGGATTCAAGATAATTCTCAAGACAGCGCATCTGTGACTGGAGCGGGATCGCCTTACTCCAGAAGGGAGTCTGAGGTATGGTTTGAGGTGGTGTCCCAAGGGCGAATGCACTGAAAACATAATAATAATGTGCTTTTCCCATCTTTGCTTGCAGCTTTGTTTCTCATCTCTCTGGGCACCAAGTTCTCTCTTCCAGGAGAAGCCCATGGGAGTATTTTTGCTCTTTGACTCTGGTCTCTGGGATCTCTAGGTTACCCATCACCTTCGTGCTGTAACTCCTCTCCTTTCTCAACAACAGCATTTGCTTTTCTTGCTCCTGCCTCTCCTCCTCCAACTTGTTTACATTTTCACTGCTGTTGGGTCCAAACTCGTGTTGCGGCAAGTTTGCCCATGGTGTTGACCGTGGTAGTTCATCCATGAAGCAGGAGGGACATTGTACTTGTCCAGGTGGGTGTTCCTGTTCTACAGCACCAGAAAACCCTCCTCGCTTCTGCTGCTGCCTCTGTGGCTGTCAGCAGGATTCCCATCAATCAGGTGTGGAGATACCTGCCTTTCCACACCATCGCTGGTGTCCCGGCGGGGCTGGCAGCGCTCTGTGTCACGTCTGGGTTTGCCTGCCAGTGCCTGGCCACGTCTGTCCTGTGCTGTCCCCTCTCTGTCATTCCTGGGCTGTCTGTTGTTCCTGGAGCGTCCCCGGTTTTGTGTAGCTCCGTTCCTGTGGTGCCTGCAAAGAGATGTTTCTCCCCAGGGTCCCACCCTCGTGCGCCGGGGATCTCCCCTGACCAGCCGTGGGCCCTGGGGTGCTGTAGTTCAGGGTGGCTGTCGCCCTAATTCTCAGCTCCCTTGGGCTGTGACTCTTTGGGCCAGTTATTGCCTTGTTTGGGCTATTTCTCCCAATTTCTGCCATGGGGCTCACCGCAGGGGACGGCCACTGTCTTGCTCCAGAGTCCTGAGTCCTCCTTCAGACTTTTTTGGATAGTTTTTTCCCAGCAGAAAAATGCCTCTGCAGGCTCCAGCGCTGGAGGGACACTGCCCGCTTGCCCTAAAGCAGGGAAGGAGCTGGCAAGGGCAGGGGTACAGCCCTGCTTTATATCATTCCTGAGGCACCTGCCTTGGTTTAGGAGCCAACCCCTTTCTCTCCTTCCCTCGTTAGCAGGAGTCAAGACCAGGCACGAATGGGAGCTGTCTGGGAGCTGTTGGAGCCGGACAGTGTCAGGTTCTCCCTTTGCTGTGGTTAGTGGCAGCTCTTACTGTAAGCTCCCTATTTTTAACGTCGCCGTGGGGCAGGCCTGGCTCTGGTAGTTGCCGCCCAGTTGTTTTGGTGGATATGTGACTCTGGGGAGGCTTTGTGACCAGGGGAGTAGTTGTTGGATTTGACCGTCTGGGCCTGACCCACGGGAGGGATGAAAGCGATACTGCGAGGGCCCAGGGTGGAGCGCGCTCTGCGGCAAGCGCTCAGAGGTGTGGGAGTGTGTTTAGAGAGCTGGTGGGGCGGGTGCAGCTCCAGAGCATCCTCGGATCCCGACCCGGGGGTTTAGGGACGGGCAAGCCCGGTTTGCCACGGGGACGGCCACGCTGGGCTCGGGGAGGGAGGCACAGTGGGCTAGGCTGGCTGCTCGCACTCCATGTCCTCCGCTTGCATTTCCATGGGATTTCATAATGTTCTCTCCCTGCCTTAAAACAAACAAACAAAAGGCCTTTGGGTTTCCCTGCTGCTGTAGCTTCCTTATCTTCTAAATATTGTTACATCTATTTTTAAGACAGTTTCCTCAGTAACCTCCCCCCAAGCCGCAACCTCAGATTCAGATCCTGGCACAGCTGGGGCTGCACGGTTATTTTGTGATTAAGTTGTTGCAGGCTGTCTCCTCTGTACCCATTTCAAACAAAGTGGTTTCAGTAATTACTGACTGGCTGAAGTTGGAAAGCATTCCAGCGAATACCTGTGTGTAGGACCGGGAGCTTGCTGCCTTCTCAGGGTTTTAACAACCATGAGTGCTAACTGCTAGGAAAGAAAAAAGGAAAAAAAAAAAAAAAAAAAAAGAGCAACTCTGTATTTCAGCTTTGCCTATTTTTGTTTTTTCTCTGCATGAACAATATTTAATGTAGAACAATGTATGTATCTCAGTTATTGTCCAGCTGTGTGAGAGAAACTGGATAAACTTGCTAAGTTTTCTGCTTCTTGCTGATTTCAGACTGATTTTTTTTTTGGAAAGGCATCTCAAGTCCTCCAGCATCCTCTCTGGGTTAACTTGGGTTTTGCCATTTTTTAAAAAAGCTTGGTCAGATATTATCCTTCTTCTAAAATACACAAGTAGATAACAGTTAGATGTGCTTCCTTTTAATGAGGGCGTATGTTCTACAAGTGCTAATCTCGCTTAAGGACATAAACAGCTGTGACAGGAATTCCTATAACATGAAGACCATTAAAGTTTGTCTTACAGTACTAGCATGGTGGCCAAAATTACTCTTAAGAGCTAATTAATTAAGATTAAAACCTCTTTATAATTTTCTCAGATTCCTGTGATACTTGGCAGTCCCGACCAATTGTTAATGTGCTGCAGCACTTCAATTCTGGCTTATTAGGAGAGAAGGTACATAAAGTTTTAGAAACTAATATAGAACTGATGGGTATGTAATTGCATTTTGATCTAAAATGATGCCCAAGAGACTGTTTAACAGGTGAAAAATGTCAAAAGACAGGCACAGCAATGACTGCATAGTGACTAGATTAAGTTTTGGACTTCAAAAACATCTGGACAAAGCCCTCAGGTTTTGGCACAGTATTTAATTGTTTACATTTTTTCAAATTTAAGAAACCAAGTAGGAAGAACTGGAACTTTCTGGCAAGGACAGCAGCTTCCTGTATAGTTCAATCAAGGCAGAAAAATTCAGCTAACAAATGCAGAGCACAAAATGAACTAATATTGTGTATCTTGTTATTGTGGCACTGATTCATCAGAAGCCATCATCTGCTTTCACTGTGGAGAGAATGAAACAGCAGGTACACGTACAGAAAGTATTTTAACAGGCTGAGATCACAATATTAATCTAAAAGGGCCAAACATTAATGGAAATATTTGATTGCTGCAGTTTGCTGAGCAACGAGCAGGTTGCTGGAGAGGCTCAGCGCTGAAAGGGTGACGAGGCCAGGGGCTCAACGCTTGCTTTCTCTGTGAAAGCTGCCCTGGGTTTCTGCCCGTAGTGTGGCTTTGTGCTGAGCTCCGCCGGGCTGCCAGCCGTGTCCTCCTGCTTGGCCGAAGGTCCTCGGCTCCGACGGCAGCTCCGGGAGCTGGCCCGGGGACATCGCGCTCTCCACAGCTGCCGAGCCCCATGAACACCAGCAACACAGTGCTGACCACGGCCAGTCCGCCGGAAAAAGGTTAGGAACTGCTATTTTGAGAGTACAAGTACCCGCTTTTGGGAGCGGGCTGAAGAAGCGGTAGGACTGTGAGAGACCTCCTGGGATAAAGCCGGCTGTGGAGCGAGCGTGGCCTGCCGGTTGCACGTTGGCCGGCCGCGTTCGCAGTGCTGGGTTTCCAGCAGAGAGGGCATGCTGTGACTGCCAAAACCGCGGCGGGAGCACGGAGGTGACGCTCACCCGCCGCTCTGGGTGGAGGTTTGGGGTTTTTAGGACTGCTCCTGGGAGCCCTGCTCACAGATCCCTCTTGGAATTAACCGTCGTGGATGATGTCCACAGTTGTTTAAAATACTGGGCTAAACTAAAATCAGTTCAGTGATTTCTAGTAACTGTTTTCAGGGGTGAAGAGCTCCCTTTCCCCCTCCCAGTGCCTGACGCAGGGGCCACTATCTATGGCACAAGTGCATTACTGTGCAATAAAACCTGTGCATTGTCCAAGGAAGTACTGCTAGGGCAGCATATACCTGTGCAGGGCTGCTGAGATCCCACGTAATAACTGTGTCCCCTCTTTCCTTACCGACCAACACCCGGCAGCAGTGTAAAGTGTTGTTTTATTGCTGTAGGTGGGACTGTGCTGAATGGTTTTGATGACACATCTGTGTTTATTAAAGGATCACACTTCTTACACAGCACAACTTCATTTTCAAGAGCACAGAAGTTTGCTCAGAGCAGACAGATGGCCTCAGCTCAGCTTCTGCTACAAATGACTACTTGAATCTTAGGTACAAGGCATGATTCAAACCTGACTGCTGGAGGTGCCAAGAAAAAAAATGATAGCTGCCAGTGTTGCAGTCTGCTGCCCAGCTTATTCCCAAAATGAGACTCTTGCTACTGAGAGCTGACAGCGGGGTTCAGAGATGACAAATGATCAGAAGATAATACAGTCTGTGCAAGTCTTTGGTCTGAACTCTGTCCAGGCTGCCTCTGCAGAAGAGTCGGCATCGACGCTCTGCAAATACTGCTCTTTGGTCCCAGAAGATATAGGTCACACGCGGTATTTATGATTAATCCTCACTGTTAGAGCATGAATCTTCGGCAAAGGATAATTACTTTAATTAGTTCTCAGTGTGTTGTACTGTCTGTGGAGAGATGCTTGCTTACCCTCCTTCCCTGGAGAGCTGATCCCTAAAGGACCTACCTGAAGCGAGTGAGAAGACAGTTGTGTCCCTACGGCACAGTGCAACGCTAACAGCAGTATGACAGAATCAAGTACGGGCCAGGAAAGGTCAAAACCTGCTGCAGGGCTTGGGCTGAATTTGTGCCAAGGGCAGTTTGATATTCAGCTCAGTTTAATGATTCTAAATTTCTTTCTTGGTTTCATTCAAGCATTTAAAAACTGGCTATTTGCTTTTTGCATTTGTTACAATGACTACAACAGCTCGTTTCTAATTTTTGCCTAAGAGCTCCCATTGCCCAGGAGAGTCTTCAAAGAAACAAACAGCCCACCCCTTCCTTGCACTCTTATTTCTGTTTGTTAAATTTCCATTTGATTGAGCTTATCTCTGTACACACCTGGTTCCTTACGCACACTTCAGAAATAAAGAGTTGTACAAATTCTGTACTTTTATTTTTCAAATTTCCTAACAAAATGCAATTCCATCTTCCCCTTGCTGATCACACCGGTCTTCCTTGAAATGAAAGAGCTATTTCTAGCAGTTCTTTACCCAGTTCCTCATGCCTTCCTCCAGCGCTGAACTCTGCAGACAGCTCCCTGAATGTGACACAGATTCGGCGATGCTCTATATGCTTGCGGTAAATCGCGTGTTTCCACTTGTACCGTGCGTCACCGTACAGCACCACCAGAGACCTTCGGGGTAAGTGAATGGCAATAGTCACCTCTTTACTTGGCACAAGCCTTGGGGATAAAATGCAGTTGATTCCCCCTTTGTCTGAATTTTTGCATGCTGACGTCTGTGTAAGAGATCCAGGGGGACTCAATTCCCCATTTTCTTTACTGTAAGTGGGAAATAATTGGATACTGTCCTCTGAATCACAAGACATGGATAGCACGGTTTTTGAGAGCAAGTTTAGGCTAACCAGACGCTCTCCCCAAAGCCACCAGTCATCAAAATGTGGGTCGATGGCAGAACCTCTCTCTGGCATGTAGTCCAGATTACATTGTTCAACAGGTAAGAAACTGCCAAGTACAGAGCAGGCTTTCATTTGTGCCACAATCTTTTTACTAAAACTTGGCAAACCGGTAAAGCTGCCAGCTTTCAGCCTTTGTTTCTTGAAGTTCACTTTGGGTCCATAGTCCTGTTGGAAAAGAAGAGGGGGCGGGGGGAAGAGCTGGTGTTAATCAGAAATCTAGGACGAGTCTTTTTGGAGAGGCTGTGATCCCTACAGGTCTCATGGTCAAGACTTTTGAGTTCTCATCTCTTCCAGTGGCCTGGTCACCAGGTTACAAAAGGACTAAGTGAAGCTACGTTAATTTGTCTGGAATTAGATTTATCACCTGTAAAGTAAAAACAAAACACCCACTTCTTTCACCTGGAGATTGCGTGAACTTTAATGCCTGAACACGCACCATCAAGTATGATTTGTTACAACTACCATATATTTTTGTAAGAAGTTGACTTTAATTACAAGTAATTATTGCAGTTGATTCCAGGAAAAGCTTCCAGTGGAAAATATTAAATGAAACTTGCAAATATTCTGTGTTTTAACTAAAACCAGCTTTCCTTTTCCAGAGAGATCTAAGAACAAATGTGCTCCTAGTGTCAAACCTGTTTCTTTCGGCCAGACTGTGATGGTTTCCAGTCATCTCGATCCATCAGTTCAACTATCTCAGATTCTTCATCTTTGCTAACGAACTCCTCCATCAGAAACACCCCTGGAAATGGAAATGCCCAGCCAGCAAATTCCGAGTGCTCATTTCCTTTAGCTAGGCCTGTTGCTGGACAGTAAGTGAAATTATCTTCTCCCTGTGGAATTAACGTTGGAGAAGAAAAAAAGCAATGGGGAGAAACTTGTCACAGTAAGGCATTTCCATGATTTACCCTTGCAACCTTGATGTTGCAGCATGATTCTTGTAGACATGAGAAAGTCTACAGCTGAGCTGCTTCTGAGGAACAACTCTTCCCTGATTTTATTTTTTAACAGCTGCAGGAGCGTGCTGCTTGCTCGAAGCCTCTTTTCTTTCCTAGTAATGTCTTTATCCTGCAAAGACAGGGAAGAACAGATGCTTCTCGGTGCCAAATGTACAAAGAGATTAATGGTCAGTATTCTGGCGGTAGAGATACGTTTTGTTATATCAATAAATATTGAATGAGGAAAGTTGATAAAAATCGTCCAGGCCAAAAGGCCAAGCTGCAGCGCACCCGCCTTTTCTTAGCGTGTGGCGCCCAGGTGAGGTCCGTCTTGGCTTTTGGGGTGGCCGCGGGCACCTGGGCCGTTCCTGAGGCTCTTTTCACGAACCCCACGGAGGAAGGGGGGTGAGCAGCCCTGCTTTGTCCCCCGGGGGAGCCGTGGCGGGGTCCCCGCCTTCCCCCCCACAGCCCGGGCCCGCCCTGAGGGGAACATGGCAGCCGCCCCCCCCCCCCCCTTCCCAACTCCCCCCGCCGGCCCCGCCCCGCCGGCCCCGCCCCGCCGCCCCCTCCCCGGTACCTGCGGGGGCGGAGCGGCCTGCGCGGGCCCCTCGCAGAGCAGGCAGGAGCGGATCCCCTTGCAGCCGCAGCCCGGCCCGTCACCGCCGCGCCTCTCTTCCATCCCCGCCGGCTTTGCTGAGGATACGGGCCGCCCTCGCCGCCCCCTCCCCTCCTCTCTCCCCCTCCTCTTCCTCCTCCTCCCCTCCCGCCGCCGCCGCTCCCAGGTGAGGGGAGCGGAGTGGGGGCCGAGGCGGCGACGGGGCAGGCGGGCTGCGCGGCCGGGTGAATGGGGGCGTGGGGGTTGGTGTGTGTGTGTGTGGGGGGTGTAGGACTCGCTTTCCCAGCAGTCCGCGCGGCGCCGAGCAGCGGAGCCGGGTCCGGCCGCGCCGCGGGGGCCGCTGGGAGTTGTAGTCCCGCTCCCCAGCGCGCACACACCCGCGGGGGGCGCCCAGGCCTGGCGCCGGCCTGCGCCGCCTCCGGGCTGGGGGCAGCGTGAGGCGGGCGGTCGCGGCCCGGAGCCGCATCCGGGGCCGCTGGCCCTGCCCGGGGCGGTGCCGCGGCCTGCAGCCCGGCAGCCGGTCCCCCGCGGTCTGAGGGGCCGCCGGGGCCTCCTCGCCGCCCGGGCGGGCTGACAGGCCGGCGGCAGGCAGCCGGCTTCGCCTCGGTTTAGCCGAAGCAGCGGTCCGGGCGGCGCGGGGTGGTTAAAACTAAACTAATTTTCCTCCCCGCTGCGTTAGTCTGGCCTGAACCGACACCCTGCCGAGCCCGGGAGATGATGCTGTAGGGCGGGAGGAGGGTCGGTGGCTGCTTCTGGCCGAGGTCCCTCGTTTGGGTGGGTTTTGGGGTTCGTCGGGGTGACGGAAGGCGCCTTCTGCAGCATCACCCGTGGCGTTGGGGTGATGGGGCCGTGTTCTGTGGTGGGCTCCCCTGGGGTCACAGCTGTGGCTGAGGTGTTGGCGTGCTCAAAAAGAGGGTGATGGGAACATCCGCAGTCGTCGGTGTCAAATTTTTGTTACAGATACTGGAGCTTAGGGAGGTTCGTTAGGCCCGATCCTATGGTTTGGCTTTCAGTCATAGCTCTGTTGCTTGAAGGATCAAATCCTCAACAGCTGCTGTTCAAACTGGTTTTCAGGCTCTGTGTTCTTTATGCAGGTACAAACTATTCCATACATGAAGGATTGTCCTTACTTACAGGTGTTAACAAAGCAATGTCCCATTGCTTATCAAACCCGATGGCCCGGGTGCTGTAGGCATGTTATGGTGCTGAAGTCAACCTTGAGGACACCTTAGTGCCTCGTGTATTCCTCACAGCTTACTGGAGTAGGCAGTGGTGAGACTAACACAAAAAGACAATAGTGATCCTGCCCTTGGAGCTCTTTTCTCTTCTATTTCCCACTCTTGGAATCCATGTCAGAAAGAGCGGTAAGCCACAAACCAGTAATTTCATGAAGCTAATTTGCCCCTATCAGTGTTACTATTCTAAATACCAGTGTATCCGTGTGTGCGCGTGTACTGTCCTATCCACAACGATGCTTGAAAACATCTACTAATTATCAATAACATACAGAATGCTGTTGATTTTTTTTTCTCCATGGTGAGAAAATTATGTTATTGATTGGTGGGGATTCACATTTCTGGTAATTAATTCAGTTTTCCAAAGTTTTAGGGAATTTAGAAGTTGTCAGCCAAGAGTCTATCCATCTGGCTAGGCCAGTGAGCGCACTGTGTCTTTTCCTTGGGAGGAAGACATTCACACCAGGTGTATTTATTCTTACTGTTGCTGTTTATTTGAAATCATGTTGCAGTTCTTAGAGCACAGCCCTGATGCTCAGGAGAGGTACAAACAGGTAACAGCGAGTCTGGCCTAGCCCTGAGTGCCATCACCCCGCGGACAGCTTTCATGTACAGCAAGTCTGTCGCTTTAATAGCCAAGGGAGGTATCACTGTTGTTTTGGGGATGGGTTGGGTCAGCGTGTTGGGAGCGTGTGCCCAGCGTAATAACAATCTCTGGTATTTTCATTTCAACCATGTGAGAAAGGTGACTTCACACACAGCAGCAAAATCAGTAGCTAACCTCATAACTTTTTTTTTTTTTTTCCCCCTTTTGGAGTCAATTGAAAGGACTTCCTCTTATTCTGTTTGTTTTACCAGGAAGGTTACAAGAAGAGATTCTACAGCTGACCGATTAGTGATTCCAGCAGAGGGGTGGATACTAAAAATGTCAAAAATCACTACAGAACTCCTTTTGGAAAGAGCAGTCCCAAGATCTACAAGGCTTCGAAAGATTGAGACACTGAAGTAAGTGCAGATGGGCCCGTGGAAAATTCCAGCTGAATTCAGCCTGGGTCATCCTTTTTTTGTCTTTCTTCCTCTAAGCATTTTTACTGAAAAAAGAGAGACAGTTACAAAGCACAGAACGGGAGATGGCATTCTCGATGAGTGATCAGTGAGCACTAGTGGAACTGCATTCATGAGATAGGTTATCAACAATTACCACCTCTTTTCACCATTTATATTACATACATGCTGTCACCTTTCTTCTGTAAAACTGCTTGAGGCTGGATCCCGATTTCCTAACCCCAAGATATCCCTACATAACCCTGCCTAAGATATCCCTACTTCCTGTCCCCAAAACACTTCTGTCTTTGCTAGCAATTGCTTAATGTGAATAAGAGAATCTCTCCTGACCTGGATTTTAGAGTGTTTTTAAAATATTTTTGGCATTATTTCTTCTCCCTTTTCCCCTCCCTCCATCACTTTTCATCTCCCCTGAATCCAGTTATATTAGTACCTCAGACTAGGAGGATACCTCGGAGAAGGAGAATAAACTCTGACACACTTAGAAACCACTAAAACCAGTTTTGTTGCTCAGATCCTTAACAAAGGTCATCAAAAATACATGTCTTTCCAAATATTTAACACAGTGGAATTCTTCTATTCCAAAACTGGTCAATCCAAGTTACTCAGCTA